TGTTTGGTACAGCCGAATGTTCGGTATAGCGGTAATCCACTATACACCACCTTCAAACAATGAGTCAGTGTTCAGTGTTAAGTCTGCCACATTGTGGTCAATTCTGTTAAGCATATTTTTCTTGGGGATCGAGCATTAAAGTTTGAATGTTGAAATAGAGGTCAGGTGCATATGTTTAACTAGGAACATTTAAAAAACCTACATGTAAGTTGAAAATCTGCAATGATGCCAAAATAACTCGTAATGGTGACCAAAACAATACATTGTCATCTCCGTCAGGAGAAGCCTGCGAGAGATGCCATGATCGACCGTGCCAAAGATGTCCTGGACAAGTCGGCCAATCTCTTGGAAGAAGCCAAGAAGGCCTTGGCAGATCCCAATAACCCAGACAACCAGCAGCGCCTGGCACAGGTACGTGCCATCATGTAAAGACGAAATAGTTTGAGGGTCGAGATATTGTTTGTCTCTCTCTCAAGTTTAGGGATCATAGGCGTGTCTTTTGATCACAGTGTTTACTGTGACCCGGATTGATCAAAGTGTAATCTTGGGGGATTTCCATCTTGATACAGTTTTGTTGGTGAAGCCCTCTTTTGTGATTTTGAATCTTTCCGATCTTTCTGTGGCCTTCCTACACACTCTTGTGTATCTGTTATTCTGTACATGAATATAGTTGAAAGACCTGCAGTGAACAGGATTGAAGACTTGGCTTTGTCTGTGTGGTGTAACTAATATTGAGATTCGCTTCTTTCATTCTCTCAAGAAATGAACTAGTATAACATTATAAAGCAGGGTGTTTTCTGGCAAAAACCCAGAATGAGAAAGTTTCATTAAACCTTGAAAAGAACAGTCTTGCCTGGTTTTCACAGCTTAGAAGCCTCACAGTCTTAACTTGAGGCCGATTTGACAAACAGATGTTGTTTCCCCAACTGATCTCGTATCTGATCGTTAAATGGAACTAGGTCGCCAAGGCAGTATCGCATGCTCTCAACGGCTGTGTGAGCTGCCTCCCTGGCCAGCGAGATGTGGAGAAGGCTATCAAGTCCGTGGTGGAGGCCAGTAAGGGACTCATGTCCGGCAAGGTAAAGCTTGGCACGGGTGTGGGTGTTGAATGGAGTGCATTACCAAAGCATGCTTGCTGCATTCACTGTAGTTGAGATAGAAAACTAACGATCACTTGCCCGACAGACGGATCAATTTTCCAAATCCTTGGGAGTCCTTGTTGCCCATGAAATGCTTTGAAATATGGAATTTGTGGACAGCCTACCCAGCAAGTAATGAAAAAGTCATTAATAGATCACAGACTCTAGAAAACTGTTGATAAAGTCACAGAATGGAATGAAACACATGTATGTATTGAGTCAGCGAAACAGTGTATTTAGAATGATCTTTGCAATGTTGGATAAAAAAATACACCCATTGCTTTTGTTGCTGTAGTTGTAGGCTTTCTTAACCACTTGCAGCTGGGTGCTTTTAAAAATGCAGTGCACACATACGGGAGATTTTCAAGATTTTCAGTTTCCAAAATTCTTCAAAAATTCATAATTTCATTTCATGGACGTTTACACGAATGACTGTTTGGTGGCTCTACTCTAAGCTGACAGGCAACCTTCATTGACTCCTGAGTATTTCAGCCAGGCCTGCCGCCCTGTAAAGAGAGCCCAGAATTTTGAGGTGTTGCGTAATTTCCTTTGCCCCAAGTGAATGCGAGTGGCGTCTTTTCAAACGCAGCTGGATTAGCATACAGCGGTGCTTTGTCTCTCATCAATGGGGCCCTGAAGCACATTTGTCTGCAGTGCTAATCCACCGGCATGCTACGCCCAAAACAGTGGTGTACTGTTTAAAAACTGTGACGGATTACCTTCGAAAAATGCAAGCCGAAAAATAATTGCAATTCCCAGCAGCAGGTCTTTTGTTCCGAGTACGGTGTTTTGTTACACGGACCAGCTCCTTTGTCCCATTTTGGGCCATGGTGCTCGAAACGGGGTTCCCCGGCAGCAAGTGGTTAATGCAAAGAGCTAGACTTCTTCACATGAATACCTGGTTTCAGTGCTGTGTATGAAATGCCCCTTGTTTCCAAGGTAATTATTTCTCAAATTTTGCGACTCATAGTGAGCTCATAACTGCAGCTCATAACGAGATGGAGCAATACCAACTCATTTACTTTGCTTGTTTTTCAGTAGTAATAATGCAAGCATTTGTAAAGCACATTTTCCAAGGATTACAATGGGCTATGAAAGAACAACTCTGGAAAATGCAACTGATTAAAAAAACAGGAAGAAAAGTAATACCACAAGTTCAATTAAAATGAGCAAAGATATGATTTGAGTTTACTTTTGAAGTGGCTTTTGTATTGACAATGATGAATGTTGAGAGGGAGTGAGTTCCAGCCTCAGGGTCCAGCTACTGAAAAAGTTTGATCACCTGTTTTTTGAATGTGGGCGGAACTTTCACATGTTGCTCTGTGCTGAGGCCACCTTTTTTCTCAAAGGCTGCAGCTCATAACAAGAAGGAACAAGGCCAAATCTTATGCTTACCTTTGCTTTTTCAAAGTAGCACCTGACACAAAAGTGTTTAGTTAGAAGCTGCTTCCATGACGACTACATTTCAAGAAATGACCAGGAAACAGCAGATGCACACGTGACCCATGTAGCATCTTCAGTTCTCTTTTTTTCTGATACAAACCTACTTCAGCATGTAGAATGATTAACCCGGATTGCTGCATGGTATGATTTTCTTTGCTTGGCCAGAACTGTTCTTAACCTTTGACATGGCCTTGTCTGATTTGACTTGTCCCCTGACCTTGCCTGGCCATCTCTTAGCTTATCCGATTGGCTCGTGAGCAACATGAACAAAGTGGAAGGGTAAGCTACTAACCCAGGTCATTTCTGTCGCACAAGATGCACACTGGAATTCCCTAGACAGCAGAAAAGATCACAGAATTTGTTTTCCTTCAAAAGACACTACATTTTACTCTTCAGATGTTTGTTTTTATTGAGCTGAAAGTCTTTTTTATCAAGTTATGCATATATATGTATGACCTCACTTCGAACAGTACTGCCTTATATGGCCAAGATAAATATTTATAGTCAGTGAAAGTCTGAAACTCTTGAGACCAGCATCCAGGAAACCTCATGTACCAAAATAAATCATTTTTCTTGTTGATGTTTGCCAAACATATCAGTGGTGTGCTTAACATAGCTGAATGCAAAGCACTGTACACGCTTGTCCACAGCGTCAAACTCTTCAGCATTTGGCTGAAGATGGAAGGTTGCGTTCACCTCTTGGAAAACAGGTGGCATGTTTTTTTTTTCTGCTGTGAAGGGCTAAGCTTATTATTAACATACAGCTATACCATGCCTGGCGTTAGACAAGCTTCGTTAATCTGACTAACTTGTGTTTGTGTTTGTATTCTTTTGTTTTGTTTTCCTCCATATATCATAAAACATAACCAGGGAATTTTCTTGGAAGTGCATTGCATTACAAACTTACCGTAGTTTGAAACAGAAATACAAAAAGAATAATGTGTTGTGCATTGTCATCTACTGTATTGGAACTGTGAAGGTTCTGAATCTGGGAACTGTAATTAGGTGAATCTGGGAACTGTAATTAGGATGCATCTTGAAAATTCCTTGGACAGTGTTTTCTCATGCATGCGTGAGCTTTCGGTTTCCTCACAATTTGTTTTGTTTTATTTTTTATTTGTTCTTTTTTTCCCGTTCTTTCAGTGTGACCTTAATATTGTTTGTGTTAAACCTGTCGTGTGAGATGACTTTAGTTGGGCTGAGAATTGACCAGGACTGGTTGTCCAGTTGACCAGTTGTAATTATGCCAAAGAAGTCAGTTTTTAAGTATTCTTCAGGTCACATGTATGTGCACATTTCACCTTGAGGTGTTTCAGACCAGCTTTTTTATGATTCACAGAAACGCAAACAGTTCATGTTAACATTGTTCACTCAACTTCACTGTGCACTACAATATGTGTGTGTACAGAGATTGACACAGTTGCTACATTGCAAGGAACTTGTGCATTCTCTGTTGTGCGGCCAAAACTAAGATTGTACGACACTTCCTAAAATGTAAATCCATGAAATAATTCAGCCATGGCTGATTCGGAAGTTGACTTCCCATTTCATGATGACCCGTGCGAAGACCTTCCAAATGCACGAGAATGTTAAAACTCTCTTGTTTTTTTGCCTGAAAGGATGCTGCTACATGAATATAATGACGCCACAAAATGTACAACAAATGAATGCCGAAACTGTGTACATGTAGCATTAAATAATGAATAGAATATGCGCAAGAAAAGAAAATGAACAAAGGTGGACTTCATCAAAAAGTCCTAGTCCACTCTCGACGTGGCTGCCTGTGTTCCGTGATACTAATTTCTCAGTCCTGGCAAGTTTGATTTTTCAGTGTTTCCATGTATGCGCACTGATCATTTTTGTGAGAGAATTCGCCTTCACGTTGCATGTAGCAGGAACCTCCTCCCGACCCTCATTCCATCGCCCGTCATCTTGGGATTCTCACCCAATGCTGTCTCCTCCGTTGTCTTGTCTCGCTTACCTTCCCTTCCTTTCCCTCATCTCCTTCCTTCCCGTCTGCCTCCCTCAGCTCAGCGAGGTGTTTGAGCAGTTCTCATACACCTCTGAGTTCATCTCTGAGGCCATAGTAGCGTCCCAGGACCAGGATGTGGCACTGGCATCTCGTGTATGTACCCACTCCCCAAAGTCATGTACCAGTTTTTGTTTACCATACCTCATACATATTCATAATCGGCAGCCGGAATCTCATTGGTCCATCCCCCAAATCAGCCCTTTTGCTGTTTACCAAGGTTCTGAACATGTCAAAAACACTACACAGTAGACTGTGTATGGCTTACCTACATGTACATATTTTAACAGTCTACCCTGACATTTGGTAAAGCAATCGTACAGTGGCTGTCCAGGGGTAGCATGTATGCTCGAATGCAGCCCAAGCTACACATGAAAAGATGGCTGCTTATGCATGCACTGGTTCTGCCCTGAGTGGTACAGTATGTATGAGATACGGTAAAACAATGTACTAATGGTCTATTTGAAGTCAGTGTTGCTAGTCAGGACCTCTGAAGACCATCACAAGACCCCCCCCAGACCATCACAGGACCTCCAGTCTGAATTCAACCCACAAGCTATTCAAATGAACAGCAACAAGAGAAGTCCTTTGTGATTGTTAGCTGTGACTGGTCATGTTTGTGGTCATGTGTGTGGGTCTAGTGTGTGGTCTTGTTATGGTGTTGACTGCAACACTATATGACGTCGATATTAGTTCCTCTCAGTATTGGAAGTTGACAAACTAGTTTCTTGGCTTTACCTTGGAACTAGTGTGCGAACTTTGAAATACCTCAGGGAGCTGCATTTAATATCTACTCGATATATATTTTCAAGCCATGTTATATTTGTGCATTATTGTCTATGCACACCTGTCTCCTACATATCCATCCATTCCCAAATTACCATTGTTAAAGTCGTCATGGTGTTCATCATTTCACTTAATTGGTGTTTTTCATTTGGAATTGAATTGGTGTGATACTCATTTGGTGGATGGGTGTTTGGTCAAAATAACCATGTTTTGTTGGTGGGATTTTGGGTACATGTATGTCGTGTGGAAGGTTAGTTTCTTCTGTATTTTTTTATTCTTTTTACCAAAGAATATTTCAGTAAATTATTGATTGTGTACTGTTTTTGTGTGGTTTCATCTAATTCTAAGTAGTTTTTCCTGCAATAAAATGCATTCTTGCATGAAATGGAATGCGAAGCCAAATGCATGAAAGTAGTTGTGTGCAGATACCAAATTACACACTTAGAGAAATGTCTTTCAAATCAGATAGTTTCGTTATGTGTGGTTGTGGCTGACAGCTACTGAACATTTCAAACCTGTGCATAAGGTGGGCATCCGTTTTTTTATAATGCAGCTTCATGACTATGGTTGATCATTTTATTGCCAACGAATGTTCAGAAAACCCCAATGATTTGAATGAGATAAGAACCTTCTCAGGTGTCCATTCTACATCTCTGGCTTATTTCTCCTCACTGTTGCCTCAGTATTTAATTCTGAATCTGAGATTTCATTATGCTTGTTCTGTAGATGTAATAAATCCAGCCAACTTGTTTTATTCAAAGATTAAGAATTTCTGTTAACACTCATTCAGTATCCTGATTTATGAAGGGGAGGTTAAAATGTTTTGAATTTGTCACTTTTAAAATACAAAAATGGATTTTAGAGTTTTGTTATAATTCACTGATACTGTTGTTGCTGAAACCCATTACACATTACTGTAGCTACCCGAGGGTGACGCCCGGAACTACCAGGAGCACCAGAATACCCTGAACAAGGCTGCCCAAGGGCTGAATGTTGCCACTGGTGAGCTGGTCACCGCCACCAGGGGCACGCCACAGGAGTTGGCCGCCGCTGCCAACACGTTCAGCAAAGAGTTTGACGATTTGATGAAATCTGGAATGGGCATGGCCGGCTCTGCTCCGGTAAGTTGTGCATTCTGTCTTGCAAAACTGTCTCACTCATCATGGCAAGTATTTTAGCTGTATAGAGGTGAAGCTATTGCCAAGATTGAGTAATAACTTGTAGAGAATGCTGCATTCAGATCAAGAAGGGATACACCTGTAGTGTCAGGATTGATACGGTTGAGTGAACTCACTGCCAAGCAGTCATGGTTCAACGTCTCGCATCCTCCGAGCATCTCAACCTCCACGCTCCAATCCTGCTGTACTTCAAGTCTACCTGTGTATCCCCAAAGGTCCGATAATCTTCTTGGAATCCAAGGCGACGTGCTGCCCGCAGTGTCCGAGTTAACCAGTTCAGAGACTATGCTGTCATAGTCTTAATGTTTCACAATGGTAGCCTTTTAACTACATGCACCTGATTGGAGAGTCCACAGCGTGTTCCTTTGTCCCAGCTCACTTCTTCTCATTTTCATAATTAGTCTTAATGATGAACAGTGATGTAACGCGCATACATGCAAATATGACTTGCACCTGTTTTCTTTGCCAACATACCTCTCCTGAAGACATCAAAATGGGCCCCCAAACCTGTGTATACATCCTCGGTGAGATCAAATTGTTAACGACTTTTCAGTCCCGTAGATGCGAGTGACAAACTTTCTGGTGATGTACACCTTTCCCGTGTTCCGGTAGCTCTGCTGGTCAGAACAACTTTCGGGGAGAGCCAAACTTTTGTTATCTTATGTTTGGCTTCTCAGCCCACACGTTTTTATTTTGACAAATCCGTCTATCTTTATGAGGATTGCATGCACTGAAATATTCTTTACATTTGTTCAAATTGCACGTACCCATAAATCATCCTGCTTACTGTTCATTTCGAGACCCGAATTACTTTTTCTTTGACTTGGTAGGCAAACAGTAGAGTGAACAATACACAAGTACCGGTACATGCAAACATATTTTGGCGTAGATGTATTTGTACATCACCAGTCAAATTTTGCACTTGCATCATTTCATACCTTTGTTGGCTCTTGGATTATGGAATAACAGGTGTTACTGACCTTTCTAGAACCATTGGGTGTAAGATGCTTGATCAGAAACAGAGGCCAGCTACAGCATTTGTCATTTTTCTACTTCAATTAACCCTAACAGTCCCGAATGCTACAAAGTACTACTTAGTAGTAAAATGTAGTACTCAGCCCTGTCGCTTGTAAGAGGACATGACATTATTATTCTCTGAAGCCATAAGATACAATAGATAAGACAATGTACCATACAGTGCTGTGGCACTATGAATGCATCGTTTCATTGTTCTCTGTACGAGTAACAACGGAATAAACCTAGCCGGAAATAGTAATTTGTAGCGCTAGGTCCTTCAGGCTCAGAGTGTTACATAGTATTTTGTAGTACTGAGTACTCTAAGCCAAACAACGCCTGGTACTGTTAGGGTTAAACCCTTGGTTTTCTTCTTTTTTGGGGGTGGGGGAGTGGTTGTACTGGTATGTACACGTATCAGTCGATGCTGTCTTAGAAGGGTGACAGGAAATACAAGTGATCATCCGCTTTCTTCATTTGAACACCTGAATAAATCCTGTCATCTGATTCTGGATTGCTGATCACATGTCATGGATTATTTGTCCCGATGCATAGTGCAGCTGCATCATAAATATTCATTGGTATACATGTACATGTATGCATGTGTTATGTAAAATGCACACTTAGATGAGTTCCATAACGGTTGGGGTCTCTGCGCGTGTTGAAATATGGATGTTGTGGGGACCCCAGCTTGGTGAGGACCTAAACTGTCCCCTCCCGTGGCAAAAACCCGGACACACCCTCACACAACTGTGTAATGCATGCAGAGGGCATGCAGTACCAACTTCTAATGTAGCTTGTGTAACTTTGTACCATTGTAATGACATTCTTATAGTAACCGATACATGTACATTCATGCCATACCTGGACAGCATAGATATAAGATGCTGTGCCTATCGATATGTACCAGTATGCTGTGGGCTTTTTTAGCTCTTGGATGTGTATCTAAATGGGTACATGTCATAAATTTATTCATCTCTGATACAGAATGGTGTCATTGGCCTATCTTAAAGCTGTTAGCATTATAAACAGGTTGGTTCATGTGAAACGTAATCACTAGTTCAGATAGAATGGTAGCGTAGCGCTTTGTTGTCAGAATTGGTTGCTTCATTTGTGTGTCCAGAATTGTGCCCCGTGTTTTTTTTTCCCAGCGAAATAAAGGCAACACTGTTGTGTGTGTTCATCGGGGGATTTTTATGCTCACGTTTTCTGTAAGTGACCATTCTGGCTCGTGCTCATCAAATCTTTATGAATAGAGAGACAACTGAGAGATGACCAACACAACACAACGCTTTGATAAAAGTGTGCATGTATTCCGAAATTGGAAACACTGAATCCAGCCAGTTTGTTGAAACTAAAACGTAACAAATACCTTGTCTTTATTTGAAATGGCCAGTTTACATGGTACATGCCATGTGATATGGCTGAGGTAATATTTCTGTCAACCCAAGATCATTAGAAAAAGGAGGAACCAAACACGGTCTGTAAAAATGTTAAGTTGTTAAAGTTTACCTTGGCAGAGAGCTTTTCAGCATATCAGTCGAAAATAGTTGATTTGAGAAACCTTGATGATTTTAGGTGCCTTTTTCATGTTTTTAAAATTAAATTTAAGACATGAATCCCTGTGCTGATACGTACATGTACATGCACATATTATTGAATTTGCTGAGAATTTGAATTCAGATGTGATGCTCACGAGGCAGGATAGGAAAAGAAAGGTGAAAAAGTTCCATGATGTGTGAAGGCATCAAGCATTGCTTTGAGAATTTGTCCAGCTTAATTAACACATTAAACAAAAAAGCACATATGACAGTGGGGAATCATTGAAGCTACCTAATGCTGTCTGGAAATGGGCAAAATAATTGTTAATTCATAAGGTTATGGGAATTCCTTGTATCAGTTGTGGCACTTCTGGCACTTGTCCAGACAGTGAAACTCAGCCCCACATGATGTGGAGAAAAGGAAACCTAACTTGCTAAATTCTGTCACAGTTTCCTGATTTCAGGTGGGACCGTTCCCATAAAGCCAGTTGTCTTTAGTTGTTACCGGTAGTTTGGCACCGGTAGATTGGCACCAAGTTATCGAATTACATTGCCTGTGTAATTAAGCATTGGACAGATTCCAAAAGAAGAATGCTGGATTTGTTAGCAACAATCTTGAATTCCTTTTTAAATTTGGGCCTTTTACCTTTTTTCCTCTGTTTTTATTGGCTCACTGAAGAAACATCTGTGTAAATATGCAGATACATTTATGTAGGTATTTTTAATTAACAGTATGTATTACACGGACACATATGTGTACCTTGGTTCCTTTGTTGAAGGGCAATCAAAGCCATTTTTTTCTCTCCTGTGTCTGTGGGGAAGAGTTTCATTGCCTGGCTGCCTTCATTTAGGACGATCGTCAAAATGTACATTTGCATTCATCCACAAAGTGCTTGGAAATTTGAAGTTGTTTGGATACATGCCAATTACCCGTTTGAGCATTGCAGGTCTTCCTTTATCCAAAACTTCGGAAACCGCTCCCAGAACATACCATTGAATTTATCCTCCTCTGCAAGAATTCAGATCAGGGACTTAATTGGCTTGTAAGTACTTGCAACATTTCCCATTCTTAGCTGTAAATTTCCATATACGGGGAAGAAGTCTTGGTCAACGCGTTACAGAACAGATCCTCACCACACTGTACACGCACGTACTTGCAGAAATTGTATCGTTTGGCAGAGGATTTGAAGTTGTGCCGATATACGTCAGTTATCTGATTGAGCATGGAGGCCTCTACCCAAAACTCTGCAACCAATCTCAGAACATACATGTACATACTCAATTGAAAGGATCTCCCTCCAGCAGATACCAGATACTGCGCTTCACTGGCCCATATGTGTACAAACTTACTGGTACGTACAGGGGAAGATGAAAATGATAGATGAGTATGGGGAGCTCTCTGTGTGTTTAGAAGTTCCTCTTTAATGTTACCACCCTGTGGTAATCTTTATGATGTTATGATGTTAACGACCTGTCACATCGACACCACAACTTCAAGCCTAAGGACAATCGTGTCCAGGATCCATGAAAATCCATGAAAAGTTCAGATTGTAATTGAAGGTGGTATTTCTTTTCAGATTCTGCTTAGTTTGGTAACATCCACACTGTTCACTTCAATTTTTGTACCAATGCGTTTCAGTTTTTAATGTTTAACTGCTCATCTTGTAGAGACAAGTTAAAGGTTTTTCCCTTATGAGATCAGAGCCAATTATGAAATTCCTGTGCACATTATGCACAGTGTAAGTACATGTACTGTACTGGCACTAGAGTGGTATGTTCGATACTTTCCAGATGTACACGTACGTAACACCATTTAAATGTAGACAGTATATATAAAATCTACCTCTTATTTTCAAGCTTTCTCAGTGAATTCTGATTTCAACAACATATTACAGTGCCTCAGTAATTCATGTATGTAGACCTTTCTTCCCACTCAGCCGTCCTTCCTTTTTTTTGGAACTGAATTGACTCTTTGCAAGAGTGTGACTCCAATTGATTTTCCCATTTGATATCTTTGGACAAGTACATGTTTTACATATTTTGTGATGTTTCATCCCGCTTTCAGTGACGATTTCTTACCCTTGCGCCATCTTGCCCTTTTTTCGTGCCCATACCAGAGTAAGGAGGCCCAGGGAGAGATGGTGGGGAGTCTCAAGACCATCTCGGTCACCTCCAGTAAGCTGCTGCTGGTTGTCAAAGGGATGTCAGCTGATCCCAATGCACCTAACGCCAAGAACCTTCTGGCTGCTGCAGCAAGGTAACCTACATGTAGTTTAATATTACCTTACACTTCCCCATCCTTTCCCGACTTACCCCCAGTGCCAACTGTCCCCTCCCTCCCCCTTGGGTCAATGCAGCAGTCCAACGGTACATACAGTATGTATGTGAGGTCGTACTGTAACTTATTTACTGGATTTTTGAATGGATCAGGCAGTTCAGCAAGTAATCCTTGAAACTATAGCTACCTGTCAGTGGTGTCAAATACCCTTGTCCTGTTGAGGATAGATGCCTCTACCATGTCTATCTCAAAACGAATGCATTTGGCTTCATACTGCTACTATCAGTGGTGCCCATCGTAGTTTCACCGTTGTTTTGATGAATGCGCTTCCCATTCCTAAACAGAGGAGTGACAAACAGCATCAACAACCTGATTGACACCTTCATGCAAGCCGCCCCGGGCCAGAAGGAGTGTGACAGCGCTCTGCGCAACATCCAGACCATGAAGAACATTCTGGACAACATCAACGAGCCCATCAATGACTGGACCTACTTTGATTGCCTGCAGGGTGTGATGGAGAAGTCCAAGGTCAGCGATAATGATAGTGGAACCCGCTACCATTTCTCTGTGTGGTGTAGTGTTTTGTTGCCCAAAAGCTTTGTTTCAGCATGTGGTCCAGTCGGTTTCTCAGAGTCTCATTACGTTTCTTGAGTCGTTCAAACCTCTTCTTTCCAGTGTTGTAGTTAAATCAGTCTCAAGTCTAGTCACGAGTGCAAGTAACGGAGGATGGACATTGGCACAAGAATGCCATTGTTGTAGCTCATTTGAAAAGCTAATGACTTGACGTGAGACGGGATGACCAGTTGCGGACTTCTGAGGATTTATGACCACTGTGATAACATTGTACTCAGCGTTGCTTTTCCCACACCTACTTTGACTTTACCATTTCTTTCCCGTCTTTGCCCCTCTAGGATCTAGGTGAAAGCATGGGAGGCATCACGCAGAATGCCAAGAACGGTCAGCTGGAGGAGTTTGGTAAGAACGTAGAGGCAGCCGGTGCAGCTGTCTGTGGTCTGACGGAAGCAGCAGCTCAGGTGGGTGTTCAAAACCTACACTTGGGGCATAGAACAAAAACCTTCATACAGAGGCTCATTGCTTGCAAATCAACAACAACTCATTTTCAACCATGACAAAGATAACTATTTTACTTTTTGTTCGGGCAAAGGATCACAACACAGAGATGTGCCATGTTATATCTTCATACCTTTATCCTGAATACTGTTTTTTCATTGACCCAGAATCATCAAATGACAGGGTGACATATCCGCATGTTACACTCACTGTTACACATCACACCAACCAGTATTGTGTGATATTGCATGCACCCGCGCATGCACTCAGACGTCTTCTCAGTGTACAGGATAATGCCGGGACGGCTAACCGCTAATGTTTAAAAGATTCCGGTGTTGCCCTCAATTTTCTTCACAAAAATTAGCCAAAAAAAAAAAATAATCAGGGCAGAGATATGACAAAACAGTTGTTGACTACTTTGATGTGGTATATGACATTTCGAACACCCTCGGGTAGGCATTGCGCCCTCAGCTTTTACCTACGGTGCTGTGCATCTCCTGGGTTTTCAAAACCTCTGTCACACATCACAGCAGTCAACAATTCTTAAATATCATTTGTTTGAATATTAAATATATACTGCTTGTTTTATCATCATCCAATTTCTGTGTTCTTACCCTCAGTCGGCCTACCTTGTAGGTATTGCAGATCCCTCCAGCGTAGCAGGAAGACCTGGTCTGGTAGATCAGTCTCAGTTTGCCCGCGCCCACCAGGCCATCCAAGCAGCTTGTAACAGCCTCCTCAACCCAAAGAGCAGCCAGCAGCAGGTTGGTACCACTCCCCATTTCCCTCTGTTACTTGCATTGTGGGCACCAGGTGCCACGTTCAAAGTCGGTAGATGTCGCATCTCCCACAGTCCTTTGGAGCCCGCCTACTTTGATTTCAAACCATGTGCGAATTGAGTGTTCTTTGACTTCGACTGTGGCTTACGCCATCAGAATGCTGCAGTGAAGAGCCTTAGACATGAGTCTTTGGACATGACATGACTAAAACAAACAGTGGATCGACAAGGTGTGTGGGAAATGTGTAACGTCGTTGCAGATGATCTATTTCATAGTTGCTGTTTTGTCACCTCACTAACACGAGAAGGCGTGTGAAGGAGAGAGGCCAGCCTCTTTTTTGTGCATGTGACGGCACTCTGTGTATTGACCATTATTGTTGAGTGCTTGTTATCTGACTAGTTTGTATAAGTCCAGGATCATGTACCATCGTTTGCTCTATCATGCATGTTTCTGTCAATCGTCCAGTCTACAACAAAAATCGTACTGTGTTGTTCGTACGTGATTATGTGTCAGATTCGGTATCCTTGTAAAATGACTTGTTCAAGTGAGATTGGAAGTCTTACCCGGAGATGAAATGCTTGAAACCTTTGATCAGTTCAAAACAGATTGATACATTCAACATACTGCCAAACCATAATCGACTTGGCGAGCTCAAAGGTTCAGAAAAGCACGGCTACAATGATGTGGGCTGAATAGCATCTGGTTCAATCTGTTGACAGAAACTTGTCAGGAACTCAAGAGATGGTAGCCTCACTGTCACAAGATGAATTCAAAAACTTTCAATTTACTCTAATGTTTTGGTCCTGCACCTAGTCTACCAAATACACAAGCACTGACACTTTGATACAGCAAAATGAGTGTAATATTTTCACATCAGATGCGGATTTTATGTTTAGGGCATATAGCTGTGCATGTTGGGCCACCCTCAGTTTGTTTACGTTGTTTGTTTACTAGCTTATCTTTTGTGTAATAAACTAAATCAGCACTATGAGGCCATGCCACCACCTTTACAGGATTGTCATTTTTAAGTACTTTGCATTGTGGGAAAAAGTTATTATTTTACAGGATGAAATCCTGAAGACCACAGATTAATTCGCGTGGATTGTGTGTTAAGGAGAGAGTTCACTGGCAAAAATGGAGCAATCCATTTCTGAATGTGCATAATTTGCATTTTGTACCGGAGCAACGTTTTTTTTTTCCCCAAACTTTTGCCAACAACAGTCCATATGAAGGCCTGCAAGAAATGCTCATCCTTAGTGGTAGAAAGATTAACACTGGTCGCCGTTTATGTGTGAAATTGGAGCCTAGTGTTGGAGACTTACCAGTACCAAGAGATTGCTTGATCACAACTAACATACTCGACATGTTTCCCAAAACCAGAACTATTTATTGTATTTGATGTGCATTTGAAAAGGAATGTTTTATTGTTTACAGTTACACATGTCCTTCGTGTGGTTGACATCTTTCTTTTCCCCAACGTTCTCTTGTGAGGGTTTCACATTTTCAAACCTATCCCTTTCAAAATCTGGCAAATGCTGTCCATCTTGGGGGTTGTTTCCCTTCACATCCCTTCATCTTCCTTCAAATTTTCCCCTTCCATCTCCCGCCCCCTCCCGTTCCCTTCGTTGCGTGTCACCACAATTAATCCACTAACACAAGCATTTTTGTGCCTTTTGTCGTTAGACCATGGGCGCCCTGATGTCGACATTTTCCGAGGTCACACCTCTGTTCGGCAAACTGGTCCCTTATTCCTCCATCCATTCGTCTGTCCGTATATCACCCCGTATGTTTGATCACCTGACCAATTTGCTGGTTAGCGACACACACAGAGTACTTTTCTTGTCTTCTCAAACCACTGCTGACTTTTTCTTAAAAGGAACTCGCTCTGGACCATTTATTGTGATGAAGCAACAAAATCTGTGTTCCTGGGCATGTTTTGAAATGATTTTGAAAGTTTTCAGAGGCTCTGCTGAGGAAAAGTTTGGAGGGAATTTTCATGTGCAATGACAAAGTCTTTACAGATGTGAAAATGATCAGAGGCATAAGACAAAAAGTATACCATGTGCTGAACATGTAGCATAAAAAGGAAATCAGTAACAATCTTTTGAATTTTGTTATCTGTTTAGTGGCAGCAGATTTAAAACTATTCCACAGAGCAATTAAAGTCCAAAACAGGAATGTCGCCACTTGATGATTAAAGGGGTCTGTGACAGGCAGAGTCTAATATCTGTGGGTACAATATGCACGTTTTCAATTTGGATGTTGATCATGGATTCAAAGTTACTTTGCCTAGAAAAATTGGTCCAAAGCTAGTTATAAATACCTTTCATCTTTTCCTCTGTGAGCATCCTTCATTAAAACCAAAAAAAAATCCCTTTCTGCAGTAACCATTTCTTACATTTGATCCCACATGTTCATATCGATTTTGATTTGTGTAAACGACTGTATCTTTCTTTTTGACGGCCAGAATTTGATTGCAAGCTTACTTGATGTGCTGGAAACTGTTGCATCAGTACCATGGTTTCTGCGCTTGCCGATTTGTTTTGAATACGTTCATGACTGCTTTGTCATTGCATGTTCCTGAGAACCACAGTGATTTATTTGAAGCTTGCTGTTGTTATGTTGTATCTCAATTAATTATTTTGTACTTTTATTGGTAATGAGGGGAAAAATTTAAAGTACATGTATCATGGCTGGCAATCAGGGCACCATGAGAAGTGGAAGTTTTTTTTAAATTTTGTACGAAGGTATTCTTGTTGAGTGTGAAAGACCAAGGAGGATGTCATCACGTTACCAAAAACACAGCTTGTGGAGTCTTCAAACCCTTATGTTGTCTATCCCAGAAAGGGATCAGTTCAACAAGTGGATTGAAGAATTCTGCTTTTTATCTGCTTGCATTTACCCCAGAAATCCAAGTTTGGACAAAGCTTGAGCCTAGCCAAAACTTATATTTTGTGGAACCACAAATTATGTTTTCTGAATTGCAACTTAGTCAGGAATCTGGCTTTTGTTGAAGAAAAACAGAAAGCTGATGGAACAATTTTCCTTAGCCCTTCAACTTTAAATACCTATAATTTCAACCATGCTTTCATGATTGGTTTACAAATTCTTTTCCTACTGTATAAAATTTCAATAGTTAGTAGCATTTCATGTATAGGCATATGACATCCACATTTGTGTATCTGATACTGTATTTGTGGCGTGTACCAGTAATCTTACAAGCCATTCTGAACTGTGACCTATCTTGCATTTGGAATTCCCCCTGGCTTTATGCATTTCTTAGCTTGCCACCCTTATTTGAGTGCCAGAATATGAAGTTTGGGGTCACTGATGACAGCATGACGACCGAGAAGTGATGTCACATGTGAAACAAAACAAGCCCCTTGGAGGGACTTTTTGTCCATCTGTACAATTGGCATATGATGATTAGGCATTTGATATACACCTGTAGTAAAATTGGATACAGACACCTAATCTTCGATGTGTTCGATACAGTGTCGACTATTTAGCATGTTCGGCAAACAAAATTTGGCCTTTTTTTCAATCGTGGAATTCAACTACGTATTTAGTGATTTGGGTAGTTAAAAGACTCAAAATGCTTACTGGGTTAAACCATGACAGACATTGAAGCTCTATTCTATATGTTAATATTTCTTTTTGTTTTGATAGCTGCTTCAGGTAATTTCCATTCCTCCCATACATGTAGTTAAGAATGCATGGCTCACCCCCAGGCCTTCTGTGTACTCAACCAGACCCTGCTGCTGTGATGCCGAGTTTCCTCTTTGACCTGTCACTCCAGAATTTTGAGTTGTAAACTAAAAATTTAACAAGCATTTGTGGGAAATCATGTGGACCATAGAGCAGAATGCCTGTGTAGTTCTGTCATGAAATCTGGTGTGCAAATGATGAGAAAATAAGCGTTTGAAACAAACACCAGAAGAAACTAATTCTGTCGACTTTGTATGCTGAGAGAGTCTCAAGGAACTTCTAAAATGTTCAGTTTGCAAATCACTGCAACAGAGAAGCAGGTTTTTTTTTTTCAATTGACTGTGATGTACCCACAGACAATTAGTGAGATGGTTTTACTCATGATCTATGGAGAGTCCGTAGCTTGTCCACTACTTGTAACAAAGTGGAGAGGCTTGTAAATAATCATTAGCGTCATGTCTGGTTTTTTATCCCATCCCTAGGTTCTCGCTGCTGCCACTGAGGTAGCCAAGCATACCTCAGCGCTCTGCAACATCTGCCGTGTGGCTTCGTCGAAGACCAGCAACCCAGTGGCCAAGAAACACTTTGTGCAATCTGCCAAGGATGTGGCCAACAGCACTGCTAACCTGGTCAAGAGCATCAAGGTAATTTCAGGCCCGCAGTACGAGAGTTAGGAACAGATCTGCAAGTATTCATTGCACTCAGCATCTGTTTTAAGGACTGTGGGTTCCATGAGTATTTCCATATTCATGAGCAAAACTGTGATGTCATCTGAGGAAGAAGTCTCAATGTTACATCGGTTTTTGCACAAACAAGTCCTGCACTTTTGTAGAGTTTCCTGGACCAAGTTTTTTCTTCTTTTGCTGATGCATTGCTGTTTATGTGCATAGCAATAAGAACACATCAATCCCTCTCTCAGAAATGTTTCCAGTAGGTAAATTCTGGGTTCACAATTAGAACAGAAACACCTATGCACTGAACCATGTCTTCCTTAGATGATTTCACAGCAACAGCGCCCTCCGTTGCATGGATAATTTTAATTGTTTAAAAACATGAGCTTTTCAGTGCATTTAACCAAATAGGAGTGTGTAAGAGTTTTCATGCTTTGAAGAAAATTACAAAGATGGCAGAAAAATTGTGCAAAAATTCATTGGAGCTACACTTTAACGTTATGTGGATCCTGAAATGTTCTTGCAGGCCCTGGATGGCAACTTCACCGATGAGAACAGGGAGAAGTGTGCAGCCAGCACCAAGCCCCTACTGGAAGCGGTGGAGAACCTCGTCACCTTTGCCTCCTCTCCTGAATTCTCCAGCGTGCCGGCCAAGATCACACCTCAGGTCCGTGAATCCAGTCCATCAATTGCAGTGATGGTCTGATCGGATTAGACCATCAGCAAACATTTCTTGTCAAAAAACGTCTTCATTTCTGCCTCGGTTAAAATTGTTGTCCATTTATATCATTTGCTCAAGAGCCCAAACTGTTCACAATGTAACCACAATACATTGTTGCACTAGCAACTTTTAACAAATCCTGTGGAACAGGATGCGCATATGGTCGTACTTTTCTGAGGCAATCTACAGAGGGCGCTGCTGTAGTTTTGATAGAAGTGCCTGTGTATATGTGCCGGCCAGGGCCCTTTTCCAATACTTGACTTGGGCTCCGTCTCAGGCTTCGTTCCCAAAACCAATCTCCGATTGTGGGCCTGATGCGTTTAAATTAAATTGCAGTACTGTAATTTCTGGCTCTCTTGCATCTTATTTGATGTTTTGTGGCACTATTAAACTAATTACTGCGCTTACAGCTTCAAAGTCGGGTAGTAAAAAACAGCTGAAGCCTGGGACGGAGCCGAAGTTGAGTATTGGAAACCAGCCCAGAGAAAGAGAGGACAACTTCCATTCGATTTAATGCCATTGTATCTTGCCTCCAGGCTCGCCAAGCTATGGAACCCATCATCTCAGCCGGTAAGATGATGATAGCGAGTTCCTGTGCCTTGATCCAGACGGCCAAACCCCTGGCGCTGAACCCCAAGGACCCGCCCACCTGGCAGCAGCTGGCCAACCACTCCAAGGACGTGTCCGACTCCATCAAGAAACTTGTGTCTTCCATCAGGTTGGTGGCTGCCCGGCTTCAGCCAGAGCATCAGCGTGGAGTTCTGTGTTGAGACGCCAGTTTTTGATTTCAGAAAATGCTAGGTTGATTGCATGGGGCCTGCTCTGGCTGTGAAACTGACAAACAGGAGTTGAAGGGCAAGCTGTAGTGATGACTGGCCCACTGATAGATGGGCCATCTAGTCAACCATTTGGAACCAGGCTGTTGGTTGATATTCAATAGCCAATCTCATTAAGCAGTACAACAGCAACTCTTCACGTGGCAATAACTCTGCGATGTACATTGCGACAGGTTGCAGCCAATGACAAAAATGTGAACGATGATGAAATCTTACAAACTAGTTCAACAACGGTTGTTCCAAAGTACTTGTATTGTACGTGTGGATAATTGAAAATCATTCACTCGCAGTCAAACTGTCGTTCGCAACTGAACTTGCTCAAGTTAAACTAGTGATGATTTTGTGCTTATCAAACATCCAGTATGACCACCAGGGTGGATGTGCTGTAGATTTTTGGAACCAAAATGGCTTCCAATCTGAACATGTTTCAACTGATCCCATAGTTACCTCTGGTTTTTACCAGTGCATAAATATCTGTTACCTCCATCTCTAAGTGGTCTCTGAAGCTGTCAGTAACATGCTCCCTTTTCCATCTTACCACATCATCAGGGATCGTGCTCCTGGACAGGTGGAATGCGATAATGCCATAGAGCAGGTCAACCAGTCGATGAGGGATCTAGACCAAGCCTCTCTCGCTGCCATGAGCCAGAGTCTCCCCCCGCATGAAGGTGCTACACTGAAGGTGAGCACCGGTAGAGCTACAGGGAAAGAAAAACACTGGGGTGATTTTGCTGTGATTAACATCGGAGTGGTAATCACAAACCACCGAAATTGAACAAAGGCTACCTTCCCTGGGTTCAGTCAAGGATTTGTGACGTGCGTCTGCCTTTGCACAGTTTCTAACATCAAACATCCCTATTCGAACCGGAGGGTAACTTTCAAAGAGTGTTTTTAACCTGGGAGTATTGAATTTCTAATGTTTGTTACAGTGGGCGCGGTTGTTGGTAACCAGCGTTGCTGTCACCCTCAGGCTGGACCTAAATCCTTTCCCTCAGATAAAGAAACAAAGGACAGTCTGGTGACATGCCTGGATTCTTCTTTGGTTTGTTTTTTCCTGTTTTAATACAGAGCTTCACAGAGCAGATGGCCAACAGTGCCGTGGAACTGAAATACCAGATTGACGAAGTGGCGACAGCATCCAAGGGACAAGCAGAAAAACTAGGACATGCCGTAAGACCTTTATTGGACGAGCCAGGGATAAGTCTTAAAGAATGAGAGAAAGAACTGTTTTGTTACATGTACACATGCAAGAGATTAGGCAAACGACAAAAACCAAGGCTTTCTGTCACAGTTGGTATTTATCTGTCTTTTTTGTCACACTGCCTGTTTGATCCGCCAGGTGTCATCCATGGCCAACTACTTTGACCCGCTGACGCGCAGTGCCATCGGCGCTGCGTCCAAGACCTCCAATTCACAGCGTCAGATGGCTATCTTAGACCTGACAAAAACGGTGGCCGAGTCGGGACTTCAGCTTCTGTTTGCAGCCAAAGAGGGTGGTGGGAATCCAAAGGTATGATACCATGTCTTACGCACCAGTCAAGTTACAAGTTCCCCAAACACCAAGTGCATGATGAGCACGTACCTACGACCACAAAATACCAGGGGTGTGTTCAGAAGTGCACTACCATGCATATGCATGTGTACTATCAATGATAAAGGTAAATGTGGTGGTGCCAATACCACCATACATATTGCGTTGTTGATCTCCAAGTGACCAACTCATCTCGCTGCTGGTCAGCTTTGCGTAACTTTTAGAATGGGCTCCTGCTCTTCCGTGTAACCATTTATCTGTGGCAATCACACAGCGAATCTTTTTGAAATTTTTTCCCATGTTCATGATGGGTGAGTACACTGTAAATGCTAGGGATTTGCTCTTGTTTACTGGAATTTTTTTTTCCCTCCTAGGCTGTCCATACCCATGCAGCTATCGATGAAGCTGCACAAGGCATGAAGGAAGCGGTGGATGATTTGAACACCATGCTCGAGGAGGCAGCCAGTGAGTTTGGCATTGTCTCAGGAATGGTGGATACCATCTCCAAAGCCATCCTGAAGGTAGGACCCCAACCCCTCACCTGGTTTTTGTCTGTGCTGTGGCCGGAAAATGGCTGGAAAAAGTCTAACCAAGTTGACTATGGATATGCCTAGTACTGTGAGATGGACCAGAGTTTTCCAGCTATGAATCACTGTCGTAGACTAGCAACCAGCAGCATGAGAATCTTGTGCATGTACATGCACTCTTGGCAAACTTTTGGTTTGGGGAAAAAATCGTCTCCTGCCTGCTCTGTACTTTGTTGAAAAGGGCAGACCTTTTACACGCGTTAATAGTGTTCTTCAGTGCTGGATTTGTTTTAAGTCATTACATTTCCCTTTTGTGCCAAGTTCCCTGAACTCGGGGAATTAGAGACAGCTTTTTTTTCTTTCAACTTTGATAGAAGTACCATAGAGAACACACCGAGGCTCAGGTTGGGAGAATCTTTGCTTATTTTGTATCGAAATAACTGGCCCATGTTTGAATGGAAAGATGCACTTGTCCTACAGGCCTCCTTGCTTGTCTCCTTTCCGTAGGATTTGTAATAGATCATGTAATAAGTCAGCTTAGTTCCCGCGGTATGGCAGTGGGAGACGTTGAGACGCTGGTGGAAGCAGACATACCAATCCTTTTTTTCAATGGCCTTACGCATGCTCAGAACTACTAAAAACGACCGGTCTGCTCGAAGCCACCGAGTGTCTAAAAGTCTCCCAGTCCATGGGAAATCAAATCCATGGAAGTATGCCCAATGCTTGAAGTTGATGAGAAGTACCCGTTTGATGGAAATTTCATGTGATTGAAGGGGAGATTGTTCCTGAACCCCCAATTTCTCTAAATTGACCCAAATTTACCTCAAAGTTTGGTAGTAAGTTTGGGTTGAGGACTCTTAGCTCAGTACAGTGGAGTGGACATCCAGAGCTTACTCAAATCCATTCAGTCGGCCTTTGTGTCACTGTAAGAACTTTTGGACATGTTGGAGAATTCACTGAGGGCTTTTTTCCTTCTGAAATTTCTAAGCAAAGGGTTTTGACTTTTTTTAACCCTTGCAGACTGATGACACCTTGCCTGAGAATGAAGCGGGCGAGTTTGTGGACTATCAGACGAGCATGGTGAAGTCCTGCAAAGCTATCATCAAGACATCCCACGACATGGTAGGGCTGAATGCAGACTTTATTTTTGTAGATGGACTGATGAACAGTGTTTGCGTTTGCTCAAATTTTGCTTTTTTTTTTTTCAATTTCAATTGCGCCCATCTTTCTTGTGAATCACTGTGTGGTTTATTGTGTTCATCAAGAAATATAGTTGATTTAAGTAACTGTTTGGGTACAGAAAACATGGCAGTATTGGTTAGCTACTTGTACATGTAGCTGAAGTTTTGGTCAAGTGTAGAACTTTTTTCAGAACTTCCGATGGCACTATTAAGCTCATAGACAACTTAAGGCATACATCTAAAGGTACGATTCTGTCTTTTTGCATCTTAAGTTTTGTATGCGCTAAGTGAAAAATTAAATTTTACAAGTCCTTAATTTGGTTTGAAGTGCCAAAATGTGAGGAATAACTTTTAAAATGTTACTTTTCTGCCTCATTTAACTTACGAATATACAGATATACTAGGAAAAGTCAGCGATTATGGAAATAGTCTTTTCACAGAATATGAACTGCAAGGCTGTTGTACATGTTGATGCAACTATGCTACTTCTTTTTCATCCCTGAATACACTTAAAGCTTCTAGTTTGTAAACAAACAGCAAAAAGCCAGCAGAAGAAAGGTAGTGCCACAACACAGCTCCATTTTCAGAAAACAGCTGCCAAGAGTTAAGAATTTTGGCAGACCGTAGCTCGCAGCAACGCTCAGCTCGTCCAGGATTTGAGCCATCCTGAACTGAAACTCGTTTTGTTGCAGTCGCCGTTTTAAGCCAGTGTTTGGCAGTCGCAACATTTAGCCAGCATTCTCACGCCCATACAGAAAAAGTTGCGTCGAGTGACAAGTTTGACGACAGTTGATAGTTAGCTCAGCATTTCTGTGTTGTTTTTTATTTCCTTCTCCTTCCACCCTGCTCCCAGCTTGCAGTGAGCAAGAGGAATGTGAGTCTTGTTGAATCTATCGCATCACCCATCTTCCATTATTTCATGGACTCATTCGACATCTGTTCAACCGCCAGTCGCCAGCTTTTCTATCAATTTCCCCGTCTCCAAAAAACAGTCCCAATTTCCATACCAGTACTTTGGTGTCGGACATCATTGCCTGTTTTAACCGATGCATGCTTGCCCGCAGTAGTGTTGAATCTGTACGCGCATCCAGCTGTGGTGTTTCTGTGCCTGCTGAAGACGACACTGAAAAATGTGCTGCTGCAGAAACCGAAGCTTAAATGCACGCTTGGAACTTCAAATTTGATGCACAGTCTCGTACAAGGCAAAAAGAGAAGTTTCCTCTTCAGCATAGTTACCTAATTTAGAGCCCAAACACTCCCCATACACATAGATTTTTGTGAAATAAGAGGAAAATGAAATGATCGGGTGTCAAAACGTTAACATGTCTACTCTTGAAAGTAAAAAACGTGATGCTGTATGTCATTAAATAGCCCCAGTACAACTCATTCTAACACCAAATGACAAAGTTCAATATAACCATCACCTTACAGCAGCATTTTCACTATTCCGCCAAGTAATTCTTCCATAACAAATGGCACTTTTTTGACCATGATGAACTCTTGTTCAGGTGAATTCTTGGTACCGGGTATGTACCAACTATTTGGATGCACAGTCACAAGAGAAGTTTCCCTGAGAGACCCTGTGCTCAGTGTAACGTTGTGTGATGTACATTGATCTAGATTGGTCTGAATTCAATTGGGTGGCATACGAGAAGCTACAATTCTGAGAAACACTGGTGTCCACCAGTAGGGCAATCAATTGTGCCTACTTCACATAGCAAAGGTGGAGAACGGATAAAGTTTGTGTTCGAAAGGCTCATAACTTATCAACCACTTGGCTATTTGAAATTGTCATTCAAAGGATGGGAGGGGATATTGGAATAATTGATCTCAATTGTGTCATGTATACATACCTACTTCGGTACCTACTGAGTACAAAATAACTCATATAGCAGATTATCATTATTCAACATCAGACCTAATTGCTTTCTTGCCCCCTGCTAATTTCGAGCCCTTGCACCCTGAATACCGTGCACCCCACTTGTACCCCCAAATAACCCAAGCCTCCTTCCTGCTGTTGCTAATATATGCACCTTTGACAGAATTCAAAGCAAGGCGTTCTTGTCTTTGTAAATGGGCATTTCTGATCCAACCCCACTTCCCTAGCTTCATGACGGAGCTCAGCAGCTCTAAAAAGGCTTTCGTATCCAACTGAGGCAAGCTCAGCTGAATTGTCGACCAAAGTTTGGGCCGCATATGCCATGGCTTAATTCTTGTGGCATTTTTTGTAACATCACTTCATTGTCAAGTACACGTTAAGAGTGTTGTGAAACCACACGTGTGTGAATTTCCGTCTGCGAATATTTGAAATGGCTAATCATCGCAGTCTTGCAGTGAATGTAGAGACATTTCAGTGATGTGTATAGATTTTACACAGAAGAGAATCGTTTATATCTTTGGGATGTTTGAATCTCACTGTACATATTAGCATTTGCATACAGTATCAAAACAAGACATACGAGGACAAGTCCTCTGTTTGCTCATGTCGTATAAGGACAAGTCCTCTGTTCTATACATCCCAATATGTCATCACCTGATCCAAGGTTTTTCTCCAACCAAAGCTTGACAGTGCTGTCATATTCAAAGAAAGTAACTCTCAGTAGCTTGTTAAAGTGTGCAAAATATAGAAATAAAGATGTTTCTAAAATGGAGTATTGTAAAGTCAAAATTAGGTACGTGCACATGTGCCATCCGCTGAGAGGTTTGGTGTTTACCATCTGTGAACTGAGCCAAAATCAGAGGCAGAGTTGATGTCACTGAAATGTCCTGAAGTGTTTTTATGACTGGTTGTTAACATGTAAATCCTGTGAATAATGAAATCACATCCGAAGTCATCATTTAACATTTTGAGGCTGTATGTCGGTTAAGCTCAATGAAATGGTTAATGAGTTTGATGGTTGTTTTATATTAAGGGAACATTTAGCCGGTGTGCTGTACACTTATCTCAGATCTTAACTTAAATGCACCTGCTTTAAAGTGCATGGGGTCAAAATTACGCATCTGGCATCATTTTTGTCAGATCTACCTACATGCAAATGTGCAACTGCCATTGGACGTTTGCTGAGCATTCATATATATTCACTACAGAAGAAAATGACACACACGGGACAGAAAAGATGTCTTTGATGGTGATATCAAACCAGATATCCTTCATCAAATCTGAGTGAATTGCAGTGTTCACACAAGCCTGTAATTTTTGCCATGGAGGCTGACGGAATCTGCAAATTAGGCAGTTGGTGGGTTTTATCCAAATCATTACTAATATTACTCTCTCTGAACTCGCACATGTACATGTGAGAGAGTGCATAAACACACTACTCTGATATGCGTTAGACTGAGGTCCATTCAGTTGGGTATTGGCTAGCTCTGCAGCCATTGGGTAGATGGACATTGTAATATACCGATACCTGATTGATTCAAACTCTCTCTTTTTCTTCATTGGGGATGTATCTCCTGGCTGCGCTTTTCTGTACATCACCAGGTCTCCAAGGCCAACAGCAACGTGGGTGAGTTAGGCACCCTGGCCAATAACCTCTCCCACGAGTACAGCAAGCTAGCCGAGGATGCCCGAGGAGCCATGGCCTCCACCAACCCGGAGGTAGGTCCGCGGTTTGAGGTAAGTGACGGGCTTTCAACTTTCTCTTTCACCCAGGCATTGCGGTCTCTCCCTGTGTTGGGGTACAGGCAAGAGACGGAGAGGGGAGGTTGAACAAAGACCGCTGTGACACCTCGTCAGCACAAGAGGTCAGATGGTTTTTATGTTTGGACCCTGATATCCAAACCCTGAGCAATCAGAGCCTCTGTCATCAATTACAATAATCATTTCTGAGTGTACACAGAAGGGTAACAGACTGTTCATTCTCAGTTTATGTTGGACATCTTGGCGCATCGCAACTTACCTGTCGTCACTTGCAAGAACACTGACAGTCCATATGGTGTATGTATAGGATTTGTACACAAATACACACTGTCTGTGTGCCTCATATACAGTCTGTATGCGATGCTTAGATCAAGTGGATAAAACGATTTAATTTTACATGCCTTTGCATGTAACGGTAATCGATAAAAAAAACCCCAAGAAATCCGGGGCATGCAACATTACTAGTCGGTAGAGACTGGAAGAGACTCGACCTTTATCCACGTACATTTGGACATTTCTGTCTGATTATGAGAATCAAATCCTGAAGTGCTCCGACCAAAAAAAGTATCCCTCTCAAAAGGATAAATTAGAACCTCCCGTTCCTGCTACTTGGAGCAAAAGTCTTTCTTTGCCTGTACCCCCATTGTGAACATGGTGAAGTTCATTCATTCCATCAGTGGTACGCTAACATCTTCTGTTAATTGTCATTAAAGCTTCTTTTATTTAATTGCTTTTCCATACCAAACTATGTTCTCTTTTAAGTTTTGGTGATTTCTCATGTTTTACTTTCCTTTCAGTTGCAGTGGGTTAAGATCTTTACTTTCGTCGGGTTGTAACTGAATATTGTCTTTTTTACAATTTTTCAGTAGTTTGTGTTCTGGTACAGAGTACATGTACCTTGGTCAGGGAAAAATGAAGAAAACTGATTTTGTTTCCTTGCAATCAACTGCAAATAAACAATTCCCTATTGTCATTCCAGCTCTGATATCATCATCCTTCTGCTTTGTGAAGTTAAAGGAAAGAGTCATTTCCTTCTTTATTTGCTGCCCACCTAGTGAAGATGGTGCAAGCTAAAACTGAAAGAAAAATTGTCCCTTTAAGAGTCACTCTCCTAAGTTCTTGAAAATTCAGAAAACCTCAATGCATATATCCCGAGATATTCAACAACATGAAGCCCTTTTTAGACACCCACTGTTATGCGTACGTGTACTCGATGTACTAGGTTTCTCATTGTGAAGTTGTAGCGCCCAGCTTTCCACATGGTGCCATTCTTGTGTCATTAATTTTGACATTTCTTGCAGCTTTTATTTCCTTCTTTTTTTTTTTCAGCAAATTTTTTTCCCTGTTCAGATTTCCATTTCTCTCTGTTCTCACGTGTCACATCACCGTATCTTCTCACCACGCATTCATGCATTTTAATTTTTCTGGTTTAAATTTCATTTTCATGGCTCCTCGTTTTTTTCCCATTCACTTGCAGCTCACTCGGAGAGACAGCACATCATTAAGCCTCGCGTTTGTTTGGTTTTTTTTTTGGCAGCACACCAAGAGTAGTGAGTTACACTTCCAGACAGCCTTGTTGCATTGCTGACAAAATCAAACTGAAATTTATTTAGGAACCTAAGATAAGGTTTCCCGATTTAGGATTTTCTTGGCCTATCTGGGATTGTCTTGGTCTCAAAGGCAAGATCAAAACTTCTTGTTGCCATTGACTTATTCCTGTTCACATTGGCTTTGCGCATTCCACTCAGCAAACTCATCTACTCTGAGCAAATTCTGAAGGCAGTCATTGAAAGCTCCATAAACAAATTTTATTATAAGTCAATGATTTGTAAATAAAGGTACATACCAGTTGATGTTATGCTACCAGAACCAAACAGAAGAAAGACAAAGTCACTAGGAATAGCTTTTGGTTGTCTGGAAGTTAAGTCTTTCACTCTTACACTAAACTCACAACTTCTGACTTTCAGAAAGCCCGTCACAATTTTATATTTGTTACTCAACAATAAAATGAGTTTCTCTGCAGGTGAGGGTTTGAGCCTCGGAACTTTCGTCTGGGCTGAGTGATATTAGAAGGCTTACCTGTGCATGCAAGTAATCTAGACATTGCCTTAATTGTTAATAGCTTTATGCAGTGTTTGATTAGATGTGGACCGATTTCAGGTGTACCGGTAGGCTGATGGGGATTAACGAACTGTTCACTTGTGCATTTTTCCACGAGAAAATTCATCCCAGATATTTTCTTGCAGCTGTCTGTATTTCAATCTCTGAGTCCACGTAATGGAATAGCAACAGTGCATTCAGACTTATTGTAGGTCAAGCAGAACTTGACTTTAAGTACAGACACTTCTTGGTATGCCTTCTTGTCTGTTAAGAGCCTTCTCATGAAGTACATTAGCTTTGTGTATAGTAGTGTAGTAGATTAGCTAATGGGCATTTGCATGTATCTGTTGAGGAACCTTTCCAGGTTAGGTTTGTGTGGAGTATTAGACCAGTGCTTTATGTAGTTATGAATTAGTCCAAGCATGTTAGCATGAATCCTTTTAGTGTAGTGGTTAGTATCATTTAACATCCATTTATGCCATGCATGAGAAACGTACATGTATTTCCTCATTTTTGGCCTCGTCATTTTGGATACCTCTAAAATTTTGCCAATTTATATTTTCTCCTCTTCCGCCAGGAATAGTCTCGTTAAGTTTTCTTTTGATGTTCCTGTTGCTTTTAGTGTACGCGAACATTAATTGATGACATTTTGTATTGCAGGTCATATTGGGATATTAACTCTATTATTCCCATGTCGATGTAGAAAGGAATAGTGTAGCAGTTTTATGGTCTGCAGCAGCTATTTAATCAGAATCATTTTCTGCAGCTCAGACATTTTTGTGAGTTCCTTTGAGTTGATTCGGCGGTGGCTTCCATTATATACAGTGAATTTTGTTGACTGGTCAGAAATTTTTTACCGTGAAGTAGTTTACAAGGAAACTCTTACTTAGTTGTCCAGTTTTGTTAGTATTGCTTCATATTTTTATCGTGCTTTAGGGTATATAACGTACTGAGTAGTTTCTCGACACTTGAATCACTGTTTATTGAATGGAAGTATCTCCTTGATTCTCCTTGTCTCTTTTGCGTCTTGTACTTTACTTCATTTCTGTAAACCTGCTCTGTGTTTCTACCCACCCTCTGCCTATTCCTCCTGGTTTCTTTTCTGATTCTCCCTTCCTCCGCTCCACCTCCTCCGGACATTCATCCTTTTTGTAGGTTGCCCAGAGGATCAAGTCGGCAGTGGACAATCTTGGAAACGCCAGCATTGAGCTTGTCAAGAATGCTGGCACGGTGCAGTGCAACCCCACCGATAATATGGCCAAGCGGGATCTGGTGGATAATGCACGTTCTGTGGTTGAGAAGGTACGTGTTGAGTCGTTGGATGGTCGCCCTTTCAAAGCATTGGCTTTCAAATGAATCTTTCTTTTTATTTTCTTGGTTTTGTTCTTGTGACTTTGTGACTTTCCTGCAGCAGCTGATGTTTTGCCAGTGTTCCTCTCTCGTGGGTTCCTTCAGATACTTCAGGGTTCGCCTTCTTTTCCTTTGCAGTGTAACTTTGTGATGGCAGCCCTCCAGGCAGGTTCCAGCGGCACCCAGGCCTGCATCAACGCGGCCAGCACCGTCTCGGGCATTATTGGGGACCTGGACACCACCATTATGTTTGCCTCAGCCGGAACCCTGAGTGCCGAGCCGGAAGGTGGCTCCTTTTCAGACCACAGGTAAGAGAGGCTTATTTTTCTGTTTTCTTTCTGCGGGTCCATCGAAGGATTTCTGGACTGTGATTTCGCTCCAGAGAGTCTTGAAGGGGTAAATCAGGAACAGTGCTTATCTACTCTTGGATCTGAATGCTGCAAAGTGTGGAGGGCTATTTATCACTAAACAAGACATTGTCATTGTATCGGATCCGAAGCAAACAGTAGAAATGGCATTAAGGCACTGAAGTGCTCCATGTTAAAAGTAAAGTTTATGCTCAGAATAAAAGCCTGTTGCCGCAAACTTGCAGCCTCACAAGTGGTACTTTCAAAAACTGACCATGTTTCAACATAAGTTAGTTTTACATTGCCTTTTTATAATATTTGTTTGTATTTTCATGCCAAGTATGCCCTCATCATCATCATACACCCTTCTTTCCCTAGAAGCAGGGGTTGGACGGGTCCTCCCTATAGTTGGCTTCACTGGTCTGTTATAATGGGTTGTCTTCTACCCTTAAAGGCACAGTTATGCTTTGATTCCATACGCCATAGCTAGACTACTGAGGACTTCCCAAAGTTTGGACTGTTGAGAGATCTGGAGGAAGCTTGCTATACTTCACTGCTTGGTTTTTGCAGGGAGAGCATCTTGAAGACGGCCAAGGCCCTTGTGGAAGACACAAAGACACTGGTGACTGGGGCAGCCTCCACCCAGGAACAGCTAGCCAATGCTGCACAGTCGGCCGTTTCCACCATCACCAAACTGGCCGATGTCGTCAAGCTAGGGGCTGCCACTCTGGGTGGGGATGACCCCGACGGACAGGTAAGGACATAGGGTCATCTACCGCAAGTCTACATGGGTATAGACCTTTTTCCTGTGATGTCACAACCATGCTGGACCTATGATGTGTTGTGATGGTAACGATGCATAGTGTTGGGATAGTAATCCACCTATTGAAGATAAATTAGTCGAGCATGCAGCATTGGCACGTGCGCTTGCTCGTGGTTGAAGCTTCCCCTAAGTATACATGCGATCACCGTGGCCAAGGCGGTCCACACGTGGTTGTATTTTTTACATTTAGTCACGTGGGTGGAGAAGGTCCATAGAGTTATTAGTCATGAATATCTCATCCCAGCACTATTTCAAATAGCTTTATGTTCAATCCGCCATAGACCTAGAGTTGCACTACTGTCAGTCTGAAGCCTTGGGAACAGGTGTTTTCAATTAATTCCTTGTTGCACAAAGTTCCTCATTCTAAAAGTCATCAAGAAGGAACATCACTGGCTGTGCAGGGTCAGATGAACTTAGTTTGACCATAACATTTGCAAGCATGACAGACAGTCGTTTTTGTTTCTTGAAGTAGTAGTTCAGTGTTAAGGGCTTGGAACCCATCAAGCTTTTTGCTTGTGTTGTCTGTGTGGGTGGCAGTTTTGAATGTGATGCTTTAAAGGAATCGATAAAAGGAGAAAGTGACATGCTTTCTATCATTTGCGGATTATGCGGATGAACTCTCATGCATGTGATAAATCCCTTCCGCCATGCTTATAGCTAAACATTGATTGATGTTGAAGGTGCTGCTGATCAATGCTGTCAAGGATGTTGCCTCAGCTCTGGGTGATCTCATCACTGCCACCAAGAGTGCATCGGGGAAAGGGGTAGACGACCCATCAGTTGGTAACCTCAAGAGCTCAGCTAAGGTGGGTAGGGGATATCTAGGAATGGGCTCACTACTCCAGCTCCCTCCCTTCAACAGCAAGAAAAAAGTGAGGTGCCCCGAGCTTGAGTTGTTTGCGGAAGTCTGCGGTTTCCCAACTGCTGTTTAGTCTTTGACCCAAAGCAGACGCGGTCAGATGAAGTGTTTGAAGGAAAGGTAGGGGGAAAAGTAAACTCCCCTCAGTGTTTAAGCTCTGGTCTACATGCTCATGAAGATTTTAACCTAGAGAGTGTGCTCTCATGTGACCTCGGGATATGTCTGAACGAAAGCTGATAACGGTTGATTAAAAGCGGTCATGCTGGGACGTTTTTCTCGACCACTTTTTAGGCCTAATTTAATGCCGTGGGCTTATCCAACTCTCGCTTACCAGGGGCCATTTATTTAACGCCCACTTGAGGCCCTGGATGTCATGCACATAGAATATTGAGATTAAAAGGACCCTGGATGTCAAACACATAGAATATTGAGATTAAAAGGACCCTGGATGTCAAACACGTAGAATATTGAGATTAAAAGGACCCTGGATGTCATACACATAGAATATTGAGATTAAAAGGACCCTGGATGTCATACACATAGAATATTAAGATTAAAAGGACCCTGGATGTCAAACACATAGAATATTGAGATTAAAAGGACCCTGGATGTCATACACATAGAATATTGAGATTAAAAGGACCCTGGATGTCATACACATAGAAAATTGAGATTAAAAGGACCCTGGATGTCAAACACATAGAATATTGAGATTAAAAGTTGTGCGCACACAGCACCGTCCGTGCCGTAAACCACCACAAACCACGGACGTGTATAATGAAATCTGGACTGGCAATGCCCTTAATCAGCTTTAGAGATCATTGAATCTACTCGCGGCCATTTTACGGAGCCGAATACAAAGCTTTCCTGGCAATGCCCACCTTTGTTCTTCCTGACGTCAATAGAGGGGAGCTAACCCACACATTTGTATTCGGCTCGGAAAATGGCCGCTAGTTGGCTTCTTTTCATACAAAGGCGTTGCGTTGCAAGTCCCGGTTTTTTATATACGTCCCTGCAACAAACACAATGTGACCAGTGGGAAGCCATTTTTAAGGAGCAAAGCGTCTTGTCTTGTCAGGACATGGGGTCTATACACCCTCAGTCTATTGCTGTCTTCACTTTCATCGCGTAGTTCATTGGATGAACATTTACTGGTGGCATTATGCTAGGAAACACAAAAACTATCAAAGTACAACAACACTAAGTTGTTATGGAATGAGAGGTTTGGTGTCTTTGTTTCCGATATCCATGGCGATAGTCTCTTCAAGTTGAAGTGTGTGATAACTTGTGTTCTCTGTTTTCAATCCTCACGACGACTCTAGCTGAAAGGCTGACAAATATTCTGCCAGTGCTGAGATGTGAGGACTATTTATCTGACTTCTCACCTGTTAACAGGTCATGGTCACCAATGTGACGTCACTTCTTAAGACTGTCAAGAGCGTTGAGGACGAGGCTTGTAGAGGTACCAGAGCCTTGGAAGCGACTATTGATGCCATCACCCAGGAAGCAAAGGTCAGGTCACCATATGCGCTCTAATGGTTGCCTCTTACAGAGGACCTGTGGGTACCACATGTAGAAATATCCAATCAAGACTTTCATGCCGAAGATGCTCAACAAATCGACACGCTTAGCAGAATCAGTTAAAAGGAAATTCACTATGAGATTGTACATAACGTGGCATGTTCCTAGGAGATTAATTGAACCTGCGTACTAAAGTCAGACCTACTTGCGTTCAGAGACTCTGTCAGGTAAACACCTTCTCAAACGTTGCCTCTGAAAGTAGAGAGTCTGTGGTTTCTTAGGTCTTAAATACCGCATTTGTTTTTTTCCCAGGGAGTATTGTTCTTGACAACTATAGTTGGTTGAGAGTTGTTGTAGTTGTGCTGCATTGAAAGACAGAGCATCTCATTTACAAACTTTTGGCCATGTTGGCCCTTCAAATAGTTCCGATGAATCCTTGAACTTGGACAACATCGTAAGGTTTATCCTTGAAACCATCGAAGTTTCAGAAGATCCATGTTTTTAAAATCTTTTTTCCATTGTGCCGTCTCAGATACTGGACAACCCGTCCGTCGGCGACCGTCGTGCCACACCAGAGCAGCTCATCCGCAGCACAAAGGCTGTAACTTTGGCGACGGCAAAGGCCGTTGGTGCAGGAAACTCTGGGAAGCAGGATGACGTGACCGCTGCCGCCAACCTGGCTCGGCAGGCCTTGTTTGCCATGATAGACTGCTGTAGGGTAGGCTCTGAGAAGATGCTGTGAAGGAAATAAAAACGGGTCGTTAAGTCTGGTTTCTTTTGCCTAAACATGGACTATAATGCAGAAATCTGTAAGAGTTGCCCTTTTCATATTTGTTTAGATGCTGACAAATATCAGCTGCACCATTTTCGAAGGTCATTGTCTTGGCAAGCTACATGTGAGATTTTCAGAGGTCAGCTCCCCTCCCACCTGCTTTTTGGCACCCCCCCTGAAATGGTTTTTGCACTTTGTTCATCCCACAGGGAGCAGCCAGTGCAGCAGATTCAGTAGACATGAGGGAGAGAACCCTCTACGTGGGCAAGCAGTGCTCGGATGCCTTCAGGGCTTTGTTAGAACAGGTCCACTCGGTGAGTTCAGATAGCGAAAGACCAGAAGCCAAAGTAGATGATCAAAGCAGTGACTTAGAGACAGTGTTGCCCTGTGAATTGATGCACTGAACACATAAATAGGAGGAGGCTAACAGCTACAAGATATAATGTTCCAATAGAGAGCTGTTCTTTTATTTTCAACCACTGCACGTAACGAGAGGTTAAACAAACGACTTGCTTGAAGGTAGAAAGTCAAACACCTTTTGTATTGTTTAGTGATTGTATTTCAAAACTTCTAAGGTGTTCTGTATTTGGTGTGGCAATTGTCAACCTTCATCCAAGTTAATGATTCCAGTTAACATGAAGGGGACCTGCAGGTGCGGTTGTTAAGATCAAAGGTTTCTGTCGAAATACATGTACTACTATCCAATAAGCAGATGTAACCCAATTTTACCTTGTCTCAGTTCTACACGGCTGTGTTTTGATTTTGATAGAACATCCAGCGGCCCTCACCGGACAGCAAGCAACGCCTTGGACAGCACTCCAAGCGAGTTGCCCAGACGGTCGGGGAGCTGGTGCAGGCCGCAGAGGCACTCAAGGGTAAGAGGTGGTCATGCTGTGGGCCCAGCCCACACTCAATCCGAAAGAGAGAGGCTATACTGGCAAGCGTTGGTCCCAACTCGGAAGAAAAGACGATTCAGACATGGTCTGAGATACGTTTTTCATGATGGTCTAGAGACAATTATTGATCTTCAACTTGTTGATATCTTGCCAATTTATTTTTTATATTTTTAAGGTTCTGATTGGGTTGATCCTGAAGACCCCAATGTGATTGCCGAGAATGAGCTCCTCAGTGCCGCTAATGCCATCGAGGCAGCTGCCAAGAAACTGTCTCAACTTCAGCCCAGAGGCCGAGCAAGGGTATGTAGGAAGTGGTTCTTGTGGAAGCCACGGTTGTAAATATGCTGCCGTTTAGGATCACACGCTGTCTCGTTACCACTTGGATTTGATTTCCTCTCTGCAAGTTTTATTTTGGTTTCATTTGATCGGCCAGTTCACAATTCTGTTCCCTCTTTTCATAGCTGCTCTCTCTTCTTCAAAATGGCTGCTTTCTCTTTATGTACTTTTGCAGCAGAGAAAAAGGAGAATTTCAAAGTTTTCACGTGGGGGAACTCTTTATTGCCAACAGAAACTTCAATTATCAATGTACAATTCAAACTGTTACCCATATGTATTAGTTTATGACTGATGCCTTTTTGTGTAAAAGTCTGTTTACAACAGTGCTTAAAATGTCAGTGTTTTTTGAAAGAAGTTTTTAAATCAGCCCAAGAGAACATCCACTTGTGCTTTTAATGATGCATGCAACATCTCCGTTGGCATTCAAACTGCACACTAACTCTCTACAGCCATTCCACTAATGACCTGGTATTCACGCCTGATATTGTAATCATTTTGTCTGTCGTCATCATCACCATCACCCCTATATCATCCTTTGATTGGTTGATGGGTTGGACAGCGTGATAGCACCACGGGTGTCTGGCGTCGTGTTTGGGCCGGGCAGGACCTGTGTAACCTAGTACGTACCCTCTAGCCCCTACCGGCTCCAGTCATGCTCGCTTGCATTCTCGTCTGCATGAGGCTCACCGGTACTTGTCACCGTGCGTTGGGAAGTGCCCTCTTCTAAGTGTTGCGCATTTTGGCATCTGGCCGTTTGCATTGCATGATTCGTCTCTTGCACATGAAGATCTGACATTGATATGCCTATGACTGCTACGTATCTGTGACTGCAGTGCATCTTGCCAACAGTTATGCTTTGTTTGATTCCTGTAAAAGTCTGTTTCCTAATTCCTGTTAGCACAAATGCACTGGGAAACTGAAAATACAGGCTTGACACACATTTAAAGTTCTTGACCGAATTCAGTCTTGCCAAGTTTTCACCCCTGCAGATATTTTCCACGAAGTCAAATTTTTTCTCTTGTGCAAAAATCACTCGTACGCAGTCGCACATACTTGTTTTTGAGTAAAGCATGCCTTGCATGGACAGTGTGGGTTGGCCTATGGTAAGAGAAGAAACCCTACCTCATCAGTAAACAGGGAGCCGTCTTGGGCCTCCTGGACAGAGAGAAAGGGACGGCCTGATAACAGCATGGCCCGATGCACAACGGGTCAAAGTCGAGTGATATTCTGCATGATATGTGTGGTTTGGGTTGAAGGCAAAGACACAAAGCTCAACTCAATGCAGACATAGCCTGTAGCGTCTTACTTGTTCTATGCATCAACAAACAACGCAGTGGCTGCATCAAATCGTTATTGTACTTCGCATCCTGCAGAGCTCAGCATCCAAGCCGTTTATAGTGGAGTTAACCATGTGGATCTCTTGCAGAAAGTGTTAACGTGGTTAACAGTATACCGAGTTGCTTTTCATCTTGTCATTTAGTGGAAAAATTCAGCATTAGCAATTCTTTCCAGCAAGAAAAATAACTGAGAAAACAAAACCACCTGTCATGTCCCTCTACTCGATTCACTCTCCAGAAGTTCAAATAAAGTTCTGCAGAGGAGGAATGGTGCACGGTGCTTGAAGCGTCAAGTTAACTTGTTCTGACGACCCAAAAACTCACAAAAGAGATACATGATGCTGGTGAAAACTTGGTCTCATCGATTCTCCATCCAGCAAAGCTTTTTAAATCTTAGTTTGGCTGTGGTTCTTTCAATTTCTTGTTAAAAGAATTGCGCACTTTCCTAGATCTAAATGGATGCTAGAGACATTTCATTGATGTAGTTTCTGGAAATATAATGAGTTTGATTTTTGGGTGTGGGAGCATTTTGAAGGAAAACTGACAAGAGAGTGTTGATTGTTCCATCCTGGCCCATCAGGGCTGGAAACTGCCGTATTCTGTATGATATGTTTGCATTTGGGTTGACAGTGGAGATGCCAAGCTCAACCTAATCCAGACATAACACGCAGCGTCCTGCACTGTCAAGCCCCCTCACAACAGCAAGAGATACCCCCGTCGGCTGAGCTGTCCAACCCGCTGGGGTGACTTCAATGCCAGGCATTGACGTATTGAATGCCGTCATTTGTGTGTCATGCATTTCACTTCAGTGGTTCCTGTTGCCGTACTATTCACTGCCAATGAAATCCTGAAGGCTGGTTCATTCTTGATGGGAAAGCAAACACAAACGTGAATTTGTGACATCAGATCGAATATATTCAAGTTCCCAAGGGTTGAAAATATCTCAACACGAGTAAATGTTGCTGCAAATCTTTTGCGGCGTCTTTGCTGTCACATTGGCCTGCAATATGAAGTGGCCTTTAAATAAACGTCCCCACTTGTTACAGTGTTTAAGACGTGAAGCAAGTGGCATTTCAAGGTTTGGTTTTGGGCAGGGGGCAAAATGGAGACTTTGTCAAAAAAAAAACTTACGCTGATATCAACCCGATACAAGTACTTCTAAACTTACAAGGAAATGATCGCATGTGCATGTGGTTATATTGAACTGCCCCTAGTCAACAGTGTGACAGCCCTTGTGTGACAGCCCTTGTGTGAAGATGTACATGCAAGACTGTAGATCGTTGTCCTGTCTTAATCAAGGGAAATGATGAACATGGAAACCATAGGGACAGCCCAACCTCTACTTTTAAGTCCCCACCAGAAGGGACAGAAATCAACAAAATCAAATCAAATCAAGCACTACGTGGTTTTTGCATAAATCTCAAGTGTGAACATCCTAGCCACACATACATGTATTCTAATCCCTTTATTTCAGTATATGTACTTCTCAGTGTCAGTGATGTTGGGACTTTCATAAGACTCTTCACAAGACCAGCGGCAAGAGAAAAGCAATGCGATGATTAATCACGAAGGGATGCTTTTGAATAGCATGTGATTTGAATTTAGACTGGAGGCCTTGTGTTGGTGCTGCGATGGTCTGGTCATGTGGGGTCTTATGATGATCTTTAGAAGTCTTAGTATACATTTTGATGTGTGAGACAAGTCGGAAGTAACTTATCCATGTTGGGCAATGAGGTTATTTGATACAGATGTTGTACACTGTAGAAATGAAGCATTATCTTGGGGTTCTGCATTTGGGCATTGAAGTTTGCTTAGTGGTTGGTATTTTGTTTGCGTGCAGCAATGTAGTTTGTGGGATTTGTTTTTTTTGTTTTCTCTATTATTTTATGGTTTTTTTTGGTATTAAGTTTAATTTTCAGTATGTGGTGGGTAAAAACAGTGAATGGAAATATTTGTTTGGTTATCAGGAATTGGGACGCGTGATACTTTCACAAATTTGGGAAGTTTCCAGATTTCTTCTATTTGGTTTATCCTCGGCGAAAACATGCGAGATGTTTGGTTTCAAGTGTGGTGCAGAAAAATGTGAGGAGTGGAAAACTCGTGTGTCAAACATGTCACATTTTGGGGAAATGGATTTCATCCTCCATTAACCATGGGTTGCCATAGTAACTGCATATAAATGCCCTCTTCTCACTCACTTCCATTCGTGCCCTCAGCAAGCAGATGAAAGCTTGAACTTTGAAGAGCAAATCTTGGAAGCAGCCAAGGCCATTGCTAATGCCACCAGCGCCTTGGTGAAGGCTGCATCGGCTGCACAGAGGGAGTTGGTTGAACAAGGAATGGTAAGAATATTGATTGCCACCCCCCCACCCCGTACCACTTTTGCTCTTACCTTTATTATGATCGAGATACTTACAACTTACAATGTTTTTACAACTCTGCTACTTTTGTACGTACATGTACGTTTATCTAATTCAGAAGTCTGTGATCATGTGCCTTGGTGTTTCGGGTGGAGCATTAATCACCGTGAATGATCACATTTTATCCAAAGAAGCATCTGGACGGTTTCAAGCAGATGGAAAACATGCTTGGAATAGTCTTTCATAGGACAGATGTCATTAATCTGGAATGAACTTGCATCATTGAATGTATGCATCTCCTTGAATTGCTACCTGTTGTCTGTAGCCTGCTTCTCCAGTCACCACCTGAAAGTAAACCAGTAAATTGCTGTAGTAATCGTGTTTGAATATGAATGAGCTACTGACCTCTGGCAGTACCGTGATTTTGTCCTGATAATTGGGTTGACAGGTTGTGGCCAACCCAGCACCCTACAGCGAAGATGGCCAGTGGTCCATGGGTCTCATCTCGGCTGCCCGCAAAGTGGCTGCGGCCACGCAGGGCCTGTGCGAAGCGGCCAATGCCGTAGTCCAGGGCCACGCTTCTCAGGAGCGACTGATCTCGTCAGCCAAGCAGGTGGCCAGCTCCACTGCCCAGCTGCTGGTGGCCTGTAAGGTCAAGGCTAGCACCTTCAGCGAGCCCATGAGACGATTACAGGTGGGTACAAATGCTTGCACAAAGTTATGCATCTTGCCTGACATTTCCAAATAACAGATGCACTTTTTTTGTACATTATTGGTAACGCATCCATTTGGGGATGTTCTGAATTGAGAAGTTAGTAAACTTGAAACTTTAACCATGACTACAATTTCTAATTGCTAACTTCAATCTCTTTACATGGGCATTTTTGCCAAGGGTGTTCCTTACACCCTTCCGTAACAGTCCTCTAAAGATATCAATTCTCTTTGTATATGGAAGAAAGCAAGTCCATGAAAGTCCCATATCAGTTCATTGGCTGGGCTGTAACCAGGATCCATCAAACATTATCAAAACCAGAAATACAATTTGTATACACCACCTGAATAAATCTCCATTATCTGATTGGTGAGTCTTTAATTTCGTGTTCGTGAATTATCAAAACGGTGAGCAATTGGAATCACATTCAGCTACTGTATCCGGTAGGTTTTGTCACTTGGAATGGAACATTCCCTGTGCTTTGTACCTCACAAAATTATCCTCACCACTGTACTCAAACATTCATTATCTGTCTATTTGAGGATGTAGAATGTATGGCATTGACCTAACCCTCTAACTGTACTTCTGGGGTTGTACACGTATCATGTAAAGATTGTGAGATATTTATGATTAACTAAAATTGGAATTATTCCCTTCCCCCCCCCCCAAAAAAAAACCCCAGGCTGCTGGCAATGCTGTCAAGCGTGCTTCAGATAGCCTGGTGGCCGCGGCTCAGCAAGCGGCCGAGCAGGAGGATGAGGTGGCTGGGGTGGACCTCAGCAGCAAGATGGTGGGCAACATCCGCATCGAGATCGAGGCCCAGGCCGCCATCTTGAAGAAAGAGAAGGAGTTGGAGGAAGCCCGCCGGAAACTGGAGCAGATCCGTCAGGCCAAATATGCCAACCGACCCCCAGAAGATTCAGACTAGACCAAGATTAGACCAAGAATGGAATAGAAAAATAGGGGAAAACAAAATGTCTGTGCCAGTACGAAAGTTGACGCCTTGAAATGTAAAATCATGTACCGTCGCAAGTGATTCTTTATTTGAAGTTAGCAATGCTTGGAAGTAGTGCACAGACCATGCAGTGATAGTTTTACATGTTCTGCCCCCGTGCAGTTGTAAGTAAGTGACCCAATAATCAGCAACGTTGATGTAACATAAGGGCATGTGTTGTGACCTTGTTCATGAAGGTTAACATGCGTTGGTGTGCCTGCTTTAACGACCTCCCAACTGGGGCTGAAATATTACTGAATAGCAAGTGGTCTGAAAACAAATTTTACAAGTCAACTTCCTGCAGTAGGGTCTTTCCAAATATAATTATAAGCTCCAAACTTGATAAGCATAGAATAGCTTTAAGAGGGGAAAAAATTATCTGGTGCTAAATGACTGTCGGCTGGAGGGGAGGCCTTTTGCCAACATGTAAATAACATCAGTAAACATTTGTGTTTTAACTGGTTAGTAAACAAACAGAATATGAAGTGTAGGGTATTGTGTAGCACTTGTTACATTAGTGGTGTTGTGTACATAGTATACAAATGTTTTCTTAGTATTTTTTCCTCAAAGATTACCATATTTTATTCATTACTGGTTTTGATATTATACTGGTATTATTTTGTAGGTTACTTCCAGTATTTGGATGCATTATTACTACTTGGAATTATTATCATGTTATTAATTTCGCAGTTTTGTGATTGGTTCATTGGAAATCTTTCAGAGATTTTGACATAAATATCAATTGATGATATGTTAGATTGTCTTCTGTGGGAATACTGCACTGCAAGCAGTCTGTGTGGGAGTATTTTGAGATGAGAATCTTTGGGTGGCTACCATTGTCATAGAGTAAAACAATTGACCCAGTTTTGACATGTTCATTTCTGGAAGAGATTGAATGACAATACTTTTAGCTCATTTCTTTAATGTAATATTAATGAAAGAAGTGTTTAAATAATTTTGTCCTGGTTTTAACTTGATGTTCCTCAAGATTACAACCATTACTCTCACAGACTTTCCGGTGTGTTGGAAATTGATGACAGCAAAAGGTCCACTTCCAACAGTCCACAATTTTTACTAAAAACTTTACGACTCAATGAGGACAGGTGTTGGATTTTCAAAGTCTACAGTCATTTGCTTTATGTAGATTCAGTACTTACATGCAGTTTAATTAGATAGAAGACTAGCGGGAAAAGAATCATAGCTTGGCTTGTTTTCATCTCCACAGAAGGAGCTGTGAGACTTTTTTAGAATCAAGTGGCTGTTTGACAAGGAATATTAGTTTTGAAGATTTAATCATATCTATGGATTCGGAAGAGAATGAAAACGTGATTTAGTAGAATATATTGACCCTCCTGGCTGAGTAGGGGTCTCATATTAGTGTGATTCTCTTGGATTCTTCCAATTGCTCGGATCAGTGGGGCAAGAAGTTGAAATATCTTTACGAAATTGAGGCTTTAACAGATGGTGTTGGTGTTGCATTGTCCCAAATATACGGCAGTCAAAAAGATAACGGTTTTTACCTAAAAGAAACAGATGAACTATTCTGGTCACTGTGAGCTTCCCAGTCGGATGTCCCATTGAAACATTTCTGCGCTGTGTTGTTTGGCTTGCTTGCCCTATTCATGAATCCTTGCCACGTCGTGCAAGGCAGTGTACGAAGAACAAGTTCTATGACGAGGCATTGTATAGCAGGCAATATGCAATGCAGTATGTCAGAACATTTTGGCTGACTTCCCACCTGACCTTTGGAAAAATTATCCAAGACACAGCATAACATATAAATTTAAACTCATTTATCCCAAGGTACACATAGGCCATTGTGCTGTTGCCATGCCAACTGTAGTAGTGGAAGTTGTGTAAGCCGTATAGTGATTTCATAATTTTTGTTAACCTGAGAATACACATCTTCAAAATGACATTTTAAATATGAATGTCTGCTCTGCTCTTAAATTACCATAAATTAGAACTATATTTTTTCTAACGTATTTTAACCAATGTAATGCTTTTTCTAAACATTTTGATGGAGTGAATATTTAAGTGAACGGCGCACTTTTTGTACTCGTCTTGCAATCGAGTGCCTCTTTCTTATGAAAACCAATTCATCTAAAATATTTTGCACATTTTAGGGCACGGTCGTATTTCATGTGTCTTTGTTAAGAATGGCGCATGATTTTGGCATGATGTTTTGATCTAATTTTCAAATGTCAACTATTGGTTGTGTTTTCTTTAAACTGAATTTGACAATCACTTTGTATGGATGAGGGCTTACCCAGATGGAAAGCTTGTACACGGAATCGGCTCATTACTAAACGTTCTGTATCATACTTTTGGACACAAATCTTTTTTACGGCACCGACATAAATATTGAATTAACTAATACACAATGAGCAAAACTGACATAAAGCGCTAGAAATAGTCCTGAGAAAACATTTGTAAGCATATCTTAAGGAAACTAAAAGTGTGTCTGTCGGCTGCAAAAATTGTGTGGATTACTCGCACAGGCACTGAGGAAGAACTTTACATAATCAGTGTAGGCACACTCTGTGATTAAACTTAAAAGGGGTCAGTCAGGCTATATTTTCAGTTCTTCCACTTCATACTACTCGTCTTCTGTAAATACCTTGCATGCAGGCATTGCACATGTTGACAATAACCTTTTTGTTATAGAAATGAGCATGAGTTTATCTACTAATCAACGATGCAGAGCTACTGTACTCGATTCAATACTCAACTAAGTGAGACTTACTCAACATGATACCTTGCCATTGAAGGGAACTGCATCATTTGATAACCTGTACTCTTAAAGCTGACACTGATTTGGAAAGGAAAGAGAAAGATAATAAAAGGCTTTTTTTTCCTGAAAGTTGTTCCTCTCTTTACAATATTTTGTGTGTTGCGGTTACGTTGTTCTCTCGGTGCAGAGTGACCAAAGTTTGTGTTTAGTTTCATAACTTCCAGGTCACAGCAATAAAAACTGTCATTTGAAATATTACTGTGTTCTGTTTCACATAAATGTACTTTGCGCTGAAAAGCACCACTATTTATGGGAGGGGCTAAGGGGGGGGGCCAATCCAAATTGTGTAATCAATTTGACAAATTGATGTAAATCCGAGTCAGGTTGGTGTAGTGCCTCGTTCCCCACCTTCCACCTCTGTGACCCGGGTTTAAATCCCACCTAGGTCAGCATGTGGATTGGGTTTTCAGTCCCCGCCTGATTCCCTGGAATATTTTACTGCAGTTTCCCTCCCACCTCTGAAACTAAACATTTCTTCATTGTCTTCTTAACTATCACTTCATCCTGTAATCGGTGCTAAATGGGTTGTTGAATGAACAGATATAAAAATAGTAATACAGGGTTGTTCAGATCTGCCTGAGAGCTTGTCAAAAAAGATACCATTGTGCAGCATTTTATATGAACACAATTGAGTAAAGTGCCAAACAATATACATTTACACTAACTGCCCTAAATATTCCTTTAGTGAAAGGTAACTGGTTGCTGCAATGTATTGAATATGTTAGCAAAAATAGGGAGTCTGGCGAAGTGGTTCTTTCCTGACCTTCTGTGGTCCTGGTTCGAATCCCGGCTCAGTCCACATGTGGATTGGGTTTTCAGTTCCTGTGACCTGATTCCATGGGTTTCACCCAGAATATTCCTCTGGGGTTTTCCTCCCACCTCTAAAACTGTAAAGTGCTTCTCATTGTCTCCTCTCCACAGGTTTCTTCAGGCTTGCAAGCTACAGCGCCTAGGGCGCTTTTGAGGAATGCTCGGTGTCATTGCCAGAAATGATTGATAATAATAATCATGGTGGGGGGGAGATGAGATTTAAGGGCAAACATTAGTCAGGACCCCAGCATGTTGCCTTTCTGTGGGGGAGGCTTCTCTTTGGGCTGAAAATGATTGGATGATATTCATTTCAGAAAAAAAAAAGATCTCCTTCCAACCCCCTCCCCCCAAATGAAAAACATCAACACAGAGACAAGCCAACAGGTGGGAATTCACTTGACAAAGATGGACTGGTATTAGCCAAAAGAGGACACATTGAATGACTGAGATTTATCCATGGCATTGGAGATGCCATCTGAAAGATGATCTAAAAAAAATCCACTTCCATGTTTTCTCACACCACACCATCTTGATAACTTGGTTTCTTCACTCAAAGTGGGTTTGAACCATAGGAGTTTGAATGGCCCACCAAGCCACCACAGGATATTTACAGACCAATTAGCAACCCTGGCTGACCAGTGGTAAAGGCACAGATGCTTCCTGCTGCTCGCCCACTGACCAACAGATTTACAACCGCCATAGGACCCCTTTGTGCACAGGGTTGTTGCCACTAGTGCTTGCAGGTGTTTATCCAGCCTGGACCACTGTTGTTTTTATGACTGCAGCAAGAGCCCTGAACCTTTGATCTCATGGTGGTTGTTTGAACTCCTGTCGTTGGCTGTGAGTGTCGACTGCCAAGTACAAATGGGTGTTGGTGAATGTGGAATTCTCAAGAAAATGTCAATACTGTTTCAAAACTGCAGATGGACTGGCTGCTACAGAGACTTGCTTTTACACCGACACTAACACAAACCTATAATTTGGGCACTCAAATCTCTCAGTTCAAAATACTTGAAAACATTTAATTATGAATTAATGATTATCAACAAATTACAAGAGCTAGAAAATGCTGGTTTACAAAATAACATGACAGCAAGTTCTTTCATCTTGACAAAGAATGATACATGTTTCATCTCTTCCCCTTTTCATTTCACATTTAGAATGCTGGTATTCAACTTATTGATAAGCCGATACAAATTGGAAATCCTATACCACACAGTCTGAAGAGAAGCGCCCGAAAACTATTTGCCAACTAAATAGAATTCTTGATCAACCTCTCTCTGCAGGCTTTGATGCATTTGAATACCCCAAACGACTCTAACAGAGAATCCAACAACCCTATTTGAAGTTGTAAGTGCTGACACATGTACATGAGGCTAGTCATCTCAAAGGAAATTAGAACAGATCTCTTAAATTGAATGACTTTTAAAGAATAAATTTGGCTGCAAAACCTGCTATACAAACACATGTAACTTGGCATCAGGGTACAACTGACCACAGGCCATCATGTTCTCCCTACAATGGGCGGATCAGGAGCTCCAGAAACTAATGCCTCTTGGATTGAAACTACCACACTTTTAAAATTTAAGCAAGTATATGGTCAATCCACAATCCAATTCACAGTTTTCCCAGCTGATATTTCCAAAAATAAGCAGGCATATTCAATTTAACATAAATGGAAAAGAGTCATTAAAACTAGATTTTGTGAGCATGTACAATTATCAATTGCAAAAAGGCAGTCATCAGGTCTCGTTACTATGGCAACATAGAAATTAACACAATCAAAAACAAAGCAGAGTTGAATGTTCAATTGAAATCACTTTTATTGTCTTTCATCTGGTTAACCTTCCATAAGTTTACGGATCTAAAAGTCTTTTGTAAATGCCTTCAGCTTTCAATGTTGCCACTTTTGATAAAAATATAACATGTATAGCACATGTTTATTCATAAATCACCAACAACTCAATATTTGCAGCAATAGATGTTAACTCATCTATCAAAGAACTAGCAACTGTTGACTGCATTGTCTGTCAAAGGTTTTTAGCTCTTTACTTACCACGTGGTACTCTCATTCAGTACTTCTTGGCAGCTTGCCAAAGTGAAATCAAGCACAACATGCATAGTAATAATATAGATCATTGCAGTGAGCAGCCAAGTTTTTTGATAGGAAGTACAGTGGGTCATTGCAGCTGATATGTTGAATCAAACTCCCCATCTAGTGAATAGTGTATCAGTGACCTTGAGAACGTCTGTCAATATCCAAGCTTCCAGTTCACTGCATACTTCAAAGGCTCCCCATTTACGTACCTCTTGTAGTTCTCTTGCATAACGTCAATAATCTGTTCAGAGAAACAACATTTAAATCTAACTGAAGAGGTAGCCTACGTACGTCCCTGGGCATCTTCACATGATTCTTGTAACCCCAAAAGTCTGTGTCAGGCATGATTATTGCAACCCCAAAAGTCTGTGTCAGGCATGATTATTGGAACCCCAAAAGTCTGTGTCAGGAATGATTCTTGCAACCCCAAAAGTCTGTGTCAGGCAGTAGAACAAAAGTTGGTACTTTTGTTCCATATTAACTACAATTTTCAAGGGTCATCATCTAATTAACCCTCTGTAAAAAAACATATTTTCCACTCCTTCAAATCCTTTCAAACCTCTTGGTGAATTTTGAAGGACAGAGCAATTTGGAATAAAGAGCAACTCTCACAAAAGAAACATGGGTGAAAAGAAAGAGTGAGAAATTGACATGAATGAAATGAGAATGAGCTAGCTTTATGATACACCAAGCACATGTGCTTTTATGTAATCTGCTCGGGGCGGATTTAAGACACTTGCCAGGTCACACACCCGTATGTACATTAGCCTCCGTTATGCCAGCAGAAAACTTCAAATTTTCATCAATGAAATCTTGTTTCCACCAGAAGTCAGGTGCATTTTACTGGCAAATCAAGTCTAACAAAATGAAAGTATATTTCAAAGCAATGTATCTGACAGATGACGTTCTTCTGGAATAAATGTTTATTCGAAAAGCGAAAACAAGAACATACCGCATTAGGCAAAACCATAGCTGTTGGTGACTCCCCAGCCTAAGGGTGCAATAAGCAACATTGTACATCATGTAGCATCTTAAAACCACCCAAATTCAGTGAGTTGATTTGTCGCTATGCGACCCCTCATGTTGAAATAATAGAGACTTTCTATAACGCAGTGTATCAAAAGGGACACTTCCTAAATGGTTGCATTTCTTTCTTGTGAACATACTGAATGGTCAGTGTGATTGTGGCTACTATATGGGACGAACACAACACCAAAGGATTCTGGGAATGGTGAATATTAGGGGAAACTTAATGAGAGTATTGTTGGTACTTGGTATGTGTCTGGTTTTGTTGACCTGGATGGAATCAAGTGCCCATTTGGAAGTCCATCCACTCTCTGTGTTTACAAGAGATGAGATATTTTACACTTCTTTCGGTGGGGACACACATCACATGTGCGTGCAGTTGCATGCGCACTTCGTGCCAGCCAAGCTGAGCACATACAACAAATTTCAGTTGGCATGTATGGCCTCCTATTAAAATCATCCCTACAAGTTTCTCTTTTTTTTGATGGAAGAGGTTACTTCTGGCAAATGTGAGTGGAATGGGGTACCTCAACGGTAACATGTGAACTTACTTCCAGGTTCCCAAGTTTTTAAAAAGAAATCCGTTCTGACCAATATGGAAACAAGTATCAAGTTAGCTCAGGATTCAGAGTAGTTTTTCAGTGCTTCGTCCAGTTTATGAAGTCGAGCACTTTTATCTGGGCACACAGTGCTGCTGGGTGCCAAAGTGTTGAGTAACACTTGAGAATGCAGTACTAGTTAGGCCTTGCCTTTGGAGTGGGAGTATCATGCCTTGACGTAATCAAGTGAAGCAAGATCTTGAGGAGTTGAAACTCATACATGTGCACAAATCACCAACTGAACAGCAAGACTATGACATTTCACAAATCGGACATTGAGAATTTCACAACTTGCCCTTTTGTGTGACTACTATGCCATTTTGAGTCGCGATGTAACAAGAACAGCAGTGTGATTTAGCTTTAATCTTGCAAACCAGCGGACAAAAGATGTTGAAACATTTGGAAATGCCAACAAGTACTAACAACTCACAATGTGTGCGGCTCCCTTCACATGTGATTTAAATATTGATCAGGAATACATAAATACTGATTAGGAATACATGTGATGGAAAAGAACAGGCAATTGTCCTAACAAAGAGATTATCTGATGAATGGCTAGTGTCTCAATCTAGTCACCTGTCTTGAGGATTTGAAAAACAGTTTGGGATAGTTTTGCTTCTTCAAACATGAAAAGCTTCATTTTTTATATGAATCTTTAACACTCACGAACCAATCTTTACATTGCCTTCCAAATAATTCCTACAGGGAAAATATGGCTTCAAATAAACTGAGGGTGTGTCTGTTTTCAAGAAAATTTCCTGAGGGTGGGCAGTCGTTAATCTTGGCTGGAATACAACTGGCAGAATTCAATCCTAGTTGAGACTCCCCTTGCCTTTGACCCTGTACATGTAGACGCAATGATTTCCGACAAATTACATGTCTTGTCTAACAGCCTTGTCGATGAAGCTAGCAACAGATGCAACTCTGCTAGCTGGCGGGGACCCAAGGCACAATCATGTAAGTTATCGACAGCTCAGGGTCGGTAGCCAAGAATTGGCCCTGCACGCACACGACTGATCTCAACTTACCGCACAGGGTTGTGTGTTGGCTGCATAATGTGGTGTAATAGTCACCTGAAAGAAACAAGAAGGGCAAGTCACAATCCTAGTCCCCCAAAAGACTTGAGACGTGGATGTACTGGACACGTAGGATTTGTCTTCATTTTGAACAAACCACACATTCATATTGTAAGTGTTGACAGTAACTATGGATATTGCAGAAGGCCAGTCCTTGATGACACCTCTATTCATACTGATCCTTTCTGTATTGTTGACTATCCAGTGTGTTGTAGCCGAGACCACTTAAGACCTTTACAAGGCCACACAAGACCAGCACAAGACCAACCCAAGACCTCCAGTCTGAATTTAAGTCACAAGCTGTTCAAATGAACTGTAATAAATATAAGCATTCCTTTGTCACTGTTCACCCTGTTACTTGTGACTGGTCTTGTGCATGGTCTTGTGCATGATCTTGCGTCTGGTCTGGTGTCTGGTCTTGTGACTGGTCTTGTGACTGGTCTGGTGTCTGGTCTTGTGCATGGTCTTGTGTCTGGTCTGGTGTCTGGTCTTGTGCATGGTCTCGACTACAACACTGTGATTATCGCTACATTATAAGTATGATTATTAGTTATGTTGGGTTTCACCTAACAGTACATGTGTATACGTTTGAATGTATAAATAGAAATAAACACATGAACAAACAAATGTCTATCTCAAAGAATGTTGAACAACACACAACTGTAACTGATGGCTCAATCAGTGAGAATTCAGCATAATTTTCTTTCCAAAGAAAGGTCGCAGGTAAGCTGACCTCGGCAAGCTCAGTGGTAGACTGGATAAGATGACTACACCAGTAAGCTAAAGGGTCACGGGTTGGAGTCCCACCTGAGCAAGTTTGTGAATTTTTTTTTGCAAGTTCTCTGACAAACACTGAGCATACAGTGTTATGAATATGTATATGTTGGTGTAAGGATCAAAACTCATAAACTCTTTTTCCCCCGTTGCTTTCATGTTCATTTTTTAAGGATCAGTACCCTACTGTTTTACCTTGGGTGAAGACCAAAGTTTACTTTCAGGTGGCAAGGGCTCAGTTATGAAGACATCAAGTATCGCATGAGAGATCCATCCCTTGTCCAGGGCATTGAGAATAGAGTCCTCACTGATGACGCTCCCACGCCCAACGTTGATGAAGACAGGTTGCTTAGTGCAGCTTGACAGGACATCGCCGGACAGTAGGTCAATGGTTGCCGATGTCTTGGGCAGCACATTACAGATGTAGTCACAATCGGCCAGGAGTTCGGCCAAGCCGGACAATGGTCTGAGGTGCCAACACATCATAGCACACAAAAATACACAAGTTGTAAGCCTAATCAATTAAAACAACAGAAGCAGGATTTGCCATTCTGCCGAAAACTATGTGAAAATTAAAAAGGTGATACACGCTGCAGTATGGCTTTCTGTGTGATGCCTCACTCAAAGTTGAGAAGACAAAACTTCTCTTGGAATTTCAAGTTTTGTTTATTTATGTCATCTTTAATATGGGCAAAACTCCAATCAGTGCAACGCACTGCTTTCCATGGAGGCCCTCAGTACGAACACAATAGTTTAAAGAACATATATCAAAACACAACCAATTAGAAAGAGAATTATTAATTAGAACACTGAGATACAAACACACAGACAATTAAGCAGGAAATAGGAAATTAAATAAAGACAAGGAAACAGAATCATAAGTCAGAAATTAAAACAATTATTATATGAGTATTACAAATCATCTCACTTTCAAATGTGCTCCTTGACATGCTTTTCTAAAGTCTGAATAATTGGCACGCTTTCAATAGCAGGTGGCAGATCATTCCATGTTTTTTTCCAACAGATATTTCATATCTTTCTTAATAAACAAGTAAACCAATACGCTGACACAGACTCCAATACTATCACACAGCTGGACATTGTGACTGGAAAGCAGTGTGACATGCTCTGGTCTACCTGTACTCGTCCACATTTTTGGACCTCTCCTCGGGTGATCGGTCTCTTCGTCCCAGTCCCCAAATTCTCATTCCAAAGGCCTTGCAGACACGAGCAACTAGGAGAACAAATGTAGCACCAGTGATCAAGCGTGAACATTCACACTGCGTGATGTCTTTTGACTACAGCACTGGAGCATGCTACAAGCCAGAATACTAGTCATACCCATCAAGTCCTTCAGGTGGGCCCTTGTCTTCAAATGCCCTCCAACATGCCCCAACAGGATTATTTACACAATGAAGAAAAAAGAAGCTGAATTGACGTGAAATGACACAAGACGAGGTGAGATCGTAGCTGAATCATGAGTGCACACAAGACACTGTGCAGCAAGACAAAAGACAGTGAGAAACGGGAGTCAAAAGAAGGCAAGATTGAGGGAAACAGGAAGGCAAATCTTCCCTTATTCATGAGGGCAACACTCCACCAGAGTGAGAGGCCAGATTCCCCCTGCCATTTCCTCCTTCACATTCCAACACCTTTCCCAACTTTTTATCTTTTTACTCCCTTCACCAAAGAATTACTGGTAATCCTAATCAAACATCCAACAAACATGGGGTTTGCCCACTACTACCTTTGAGCACTGAAGCATGAAATTGTAGTTAGCATTCTTGGCTTTGCCATAGTCTTTATTTGCAATTCAAAGTTTGCAGAGAGGTAGACCAAAAGGTAAAACCTGATCTAAGTAGATTCATTACAATGCAAACTCATACATCTTGAGGATGATCACTGATTATAACTTACTCAGAGAGATAATTTTGATCAACAAGGATTAAACCACTAGCCTCTCAGGCTTGTTGACATAAGATAAACAGTGCAAACTAATAAAAAATCCCAGAAGGCAGTGCTTTTTCCAAGTTATTACAGCCTCCTGACTCAGAAACCTTCTAGTGGAGTGGGGACTGCATGTTAAAGGTGCATTCCATCATTTGTCATTTGTACATTACATGTACATGTCTATTCCTTTTAGCCAACAGCGCTCAAAATGTAAAGGGTGCCAAGCAATTAACCTGATGAAATTTCAGCTCAGTTAGAATTCCGATAACAACAACTATTCTTGGATCTCGATTTCAACTCAAAGGTTGCCGAGTCATGTTTTGAATTGTGCCCAAATTTACCGTCCATACTTATCCTGCCCGATGCAGGAAGCCAATGTCGTGCACTAACCTGACGAATTACAGTTACCATGGCAACACTTGCATGCGCTTTGCCCAATTAAAAGAAACTACTGAAAGCAATTTCCATCATCACAAATGGCCTTCTTTCTTCAAAATGACGGCTTGCCAGAAAGAATCATTCACAGGGAGTTTAGCTCTGAAGCCACCTTTAAAAGTACGCTTTTCAAAGTGTCTTTGTTGGTTTCTTTGAAAATAACTGCAAGTGATGGACTGTGCCGTTAAAATGGAAACAATTTATGTTTTACAACTGCATGGGTGTAAGTGGGGTGCAATACATGCATGCATTAACCCAATCAATCAGTTAAAATGACCCGAGAAACCACCACACATAGCACGTATATATTGTTCTTGCCATGTACATGTACAACTGGGTACACCAACTGTGCATAATTTCAAGTAGATTTTTACTCACTTTCTTCCCCGATGTCCCCCAGACCTAATATTCCAAGGGTAAGATGTTTCATGAGACGATAGTTTCTCCATTTCCTGTGACAGGAAAAAGGAAATCAACAGTCCGAGCGAATTCTTCAGTTTTTAATTTTGTTCAGGTTTCTGATCAGATCTATACAAACTGACAGTAAAAGTGATTTCTTGAAAAAAAGTATTATGAATATTTAATGCTTTTGTGAAAGTGTGATGGAGCTGTTTTAACCAAGTACGTTTCAAACCAGTTGGGGGTCTAGTCTTCCGTTTGTTTCATTAGCGTCTCATGGCCCCTATATATAATGTGTACACATGTACATTTTCTTTAAGCAACTATTTGGAATTTACTTACAAAGTAGGGCTTCCTCATACATTTTGAGCATTCCACACAGAATTTATCTGACGTACCATTCTTTCTTCTCCTGAGCCGCTTTCATTTCATAAAAATGACGCTCATGAGCTACCATCTGGGCTATCACATACTCGGCCATGCTGGCAGTCAGACCCCCACCCAAGCGGGTGAACGTGAACGGTGGGGGGAGGTCAGCAGGGTTCACTATATCTACCAAGTCATCAATACCTGTAGTAATGCAATCAGTTAAAAAGGGAATTGTAAAAAGTCTTGGCTGGACTATGGGCTATCTGCCTGCAAAGACAAAATTAATATGACGAGTGATTCAACCGTCTTCAGTGTCAAAAACAACATTTTCTAACATTTGACACTGGCGGCCACGACCTGCCTAGCTCACTTTGTTACCCTCCGAAGCAGAAGACAGTCACATCAGGCTTGGGTTTCATTTTCTGATGTTTTTCTCCTTCCATTAAAGCTTGCTCATTGGTAATGCCACTGGTAAATGCCCTATTCTCACCACATAATCACACGAACAGACAAGTGGCACATACCAACAGACCAGTAGCACAATGACATTAGGCTTACGTGATCCATCAAGCTCCTAAAGGAAAGTGCAGATGTAACCAAAGCGTGATGCTATCGTGCTTTTGGCCTCTACGCTGCATCAGGTACAGGAGAAGGGCCTAGGGGAGGTGGAGGGCTGAGGGGAAGCACTTGCATCCTGAAAAGATCTCACCTGCCCACGTGCCCTGAACCCATTTGGCTTCAGGTAAATGGCTGAAATAACCACCTATTAAGTCAGGGTCTGCCAATAAAATCTCTGCTTCTTGAAGATCGGCAGTGGCCTCCTCTGTAGTGCAATTACAAAAGGAAAGGGGAAAATGCGTCATACTTTGAATGGGGCATGTATGACAAACTATGTGTTAACATTTATAACTGTAAAGGGGATTTGTGAAAATGTCAACCTGATGGTCCACGATGCTCTAACTTCTAGAATTAAATGGCTATGCATTTTGAAGCCGATTGGCTACCGATTACACAAGTTAAATCAATTTTATGCTAAATATTTAGTTGACCATAAAATGATTAAAAACTGCAGTTTTTGGTTTGCGAATTGCACGCAAAATCTGAACAAATTGCCATTTTTAGTGATAGGCCCATTTCACCTATTGATCAAATGCATTTTGAAAAAGTCTTCTGATTTTCAATAGCGGCCTGTAATCAATTTCCACTCCAATCTCAGTTCATCAGCGTCCCTATTTTGAGCTAAATGTAGCACTCTGCTTCGCTGCATGCTGCAACTACGCACTCACGCGGTGAAACTGCCAGTGGACTATCTGGCCCACCACGCCGCCGGTCCGGATTCCCTGGTCAACTGAGCCTCGGCCCTCAAGGCTCAACCGCCGACCTTTTGTCGCATGGCAATGTCTCTATCTCGCATACATAATTGTGTACCTGGCTTTTCGTGGTCCAAAAGCTTATAAGGGATGTGGCTCAACCGCGACTTCCACAAGTCAAGCAATCTCAGGCTTGATGCGGCATATCTGGTTAAAATCGTCACAACGGGCAACCTGCTGCACCCCACTTCAGAAGCCATTTTCTGCTGCTGATTTGGTCTGTCCCGTGCGCGTGCGCCAACCCCGGTCACCACCAAAGTCACCAGCAACTTTGAAAGCCGGCCGGCCGTGTACACGTACGTACGTTGTACGTAACATGTACCACATCACATGTCACAAGACACGTGAGTCCAGCTTGTAATTATTGTGCATGCACAGAATCAGAAAGGGGACTGGTCAATGGCTTTCGTGGTTTGCCACGGTCACATGTCCAGTAAAGCTTACCTCGGCCTGTACATATCGTAAAACTCTTCAAACATGCACATTTAGCGACTGATAACGGGCAGGTGGGAACCGTAGAGCAAGGAAACGTTCATGTCGTGGGCTTACGTGTGGGTAAGAACTTTTAAGTTGGTCTAATCATGGAGGTAGGAAACCGAGCGCCAACCTCCGTGGTCTCATCATGTCTCTCCATGGAAATCAAGTTGATCAATCAAAACTTTTTCTATCTTCCAAGTCATCATTGGCCTATTTTATAGTGTTAGGTTTGGAGATTCGTCCATTTCACATGCAGCCGGCCGTGTCCCTCTACCTTGTACCTGAGTACCTCTCTCATGTTTCTTGCGCGTTTAGCCTATACCGTGATTTTTTTTTTTCGAAGAGTGGATGGCGTAGTTTCGTTTCATGTCCTTTATGAATTAACTTAAATCCCTTTTTAATTCGTTTCGGCTCCATGGTCTGTGCATGGACCTATAGCTGCATGTTCTGTGGATCTAGGTAGGGTGACGGCGGTAGGAAATCAGACTTTTTATAATTAATAAAATCTTACGGCCCGACTCCCCTGGAAAAATTCCTAGATCCACCCCTGCATTTTCTGGTGTTTTAAGTTGTCATGTAGTGTACTCAATTAAGTGCCCTTGCTTTTCCAGTGATAGTTGGGGCAGAATTGGCGTACACTCGACATTGCTCGAGAGGTTCAAAAACTGCACCCAGTGATCTGATGTTCATTAATTTTGTACACCACAGTTTGGTAGGAGGTTTTAGGGGTCAGTTAA